AGGGAGGTCACTAAGCCTGTCCACACTTTCTTTCAGATGATGCAGTAGGTTAAGTTTTTTGTTAACGGCATCGAGGTGGACCGAGATGGAGCTAGAGCCATCCTGAGATATCGACTCTGATTCGGTGTCAGAGAAACTGGGCTGTGATTTAGATTTTCTGCATTTTCTGCACACCCATTTCTTGCGTTTGTCCTTGCCCATTGTCTTGAAAGTACTCTCCGCAATAATAATAATAATAGTAAAATTCATTCAGTAGTGCAGGTATAGCCAGTTGAGTATCGGGTCCGATCAAAGCCATCAGGGACTTGTGGGACCAGACCCTTCACTGGAAAATACAAAAAAGGAAGTTCGCATGGAATAACATCACGTGCAGGAAAAAAAAGCAAATAACATACAGATGATTCACTTGACAGGATGTAGTCGGAATGTTTGTGTCAGTGACTTGGGTGAAGCTGTGAAGATGAAACTATAGCAAACGTTGTCTTGATCACTGTGTCAATTACAATCATTAAAGTCATAAAAGTAAAAAAAAAAAAACACTCAGGCATGAGTATTTTTAAACACTGTAAGAGTACATTCGAAGACACAGTCCTTGAATTCATGAGTCTTTCTCTCAAATATTTCATATGTTCAGTAAAAAAAAAAAAAAACACTTATTAGTAGAAAGAAAATCATTCAGTCAACGGGTCGAAGACAAAAAAACTTCACGCAATAAATGCAGTCGTCATTTGACAGGTCCAGCGATTACCACAAAAAGCACGTACAGCACCATACTACAAAAGAAAAGGAAAATAACGACATGGGAAAAAAGTCACTATCTAGCCACATCGGCGAACATGTTTCTCAGAGAGGTCTTCAGCATTTTTTTTTAGGAAATGGCAAGTAGAGCAGCTGGAACGTCGTTAAAAACTTTTGGCACATAAAAGGAACGCATGCTTTCGCCATAGTGAGTTCTCACTCGAGGAGATTGAAAACGCACAACAGATCTAAGCTCGCGAGATGGACTGGCCGAGACCTTAAACTCACTCTCCCAGAAGTGTCGCCAAATTACTGTTTGAAGAAAGAGTGAATGAAAACACGGTAACTTAAGTGAAGCAAACGAGCTCGTACTAGATGACATGTGTGTGTTGTATGCTACACTCTTCAGAATTCCCTTTAACGTACGATCAATTCTTGAGTGCCAAAAGAATGGACAGTTAAAAAATACGCTTATGCCATACCTTAGTGTACTATAGGCTAAAGCGTGCATAATGCTCTTTCTAATTGACAAAGGTAGAAACGATTTGATATTGTAAAGCAGACATGAGACAGTTCTCAATCGTTGGCATATATTTGACATGTGAGAGTTCCATGAGAGATCACTATCGAAGTGAAGACCTAAATATTTTACGGAGCTAACATATCCAACAGGTGTACAGTTAGAGCGTGAGCAATTGGTGTTGTGGAGAAATAGCTGAGAAGTCAAGCTTACATTTTTTAAAGGGCTATGAAAGCAGACCAGCTTCGTTTTTGAAGCATTTACCCGAAGCTTGTTGGCAAAAAACCAGTCCATTATTTTAGCGACATCCATCTGAAGCGTTTGGACTTCTTCCAAAACCGACGCGCCCCATCGCGGTGAAATACCACGCACTGCACTCTGGGAACTAAAGGCATGGTAGCGCTTTTTTGGACGAGGACAAAAGAAAGAAAGACAAGACAGACACGAGCGCTGGGAACTAGTTGGCCACTCAGTTTCGGTTTCGACTGAGCAGCGTCATCTCATGCTATCACGCCGCGACCGAACGCGCTGCTTGCGTTTCCGATTATCTCACTTTTCACGAACGTACAATACACTCATTCTCGAGCGATAAAAAACGAAGACCGGGTCACTTTCCTTGATTTTCGAAACACCGGATATTGTGCGTGCGTATGCAAACGTAGTAAGTCGTGGCTTAGTCATCTCACCCCACGAGTGCATGTTTGAGCTCAATTTCAATAATCCCGTCTAGTACCAGTGAACTAGAACTGAAATTTGTTCATCTGGAGCTTTACACGTATTTTGTTTGCCAAACGTTTGTTTCTTCTTACTTCATTCGCAAAAAGCAAGCCGCATCCTCACAGGGTATCAAAGTTGAGCCCAGCGTTTACGCATGAACTTTTAAGGAAACGCAATAAATTCGACCTCACTACTGCTCAAAATTTACTATGATGTCTTCCTCGTGTCATCATATATCTCCCACTAAAATTTTATGCTGATAAAAGATTAACTTTTCGCAAACGCTGAGATCGGCTAGCTACGACGGAGGCCCTAACAAGCGTCCCCTACTCCTCGCTAAGCCTTTTTGGACGAGCTTTTACTGACGCCCAAGATCTGTGCCTGAACGGTGTGTCTCGGCATACTCAGGCAGAAAGAAAACAAACACATAACAATTATTATGGCCATTAGCAACCGTCAAACGCGCTTTGAATTCGTTCGAGCACTTGTGTGAAGAATGTCGCACCGTGCGCCGGACGGGCATGAACCATGCGGTGCGCATAGGGGTTCATGCCCGTCCGGCGCACTTCCGGCGAATGGTGCGACATTCTTCACACAAGTGCTCGACTTTTGCTTTCTTAAAACGGTCTGTATGTGCGAATTTGCCTATATGATTGCAGGATAACCTTATGCGCATACGCGATGTTGGTATTAGTGGAATGCAAGCGGGTGGGGACTTCACTCCATGCAGTGCTGCGGGGCAGTACAGATAAGAGATAAGAAGTGTGTTAAAATTGAGCTTTTCAATGGCGCCTCCGAGTTTTACCTCGCATACTCAGGCATATAAAAAAAACAAAAAAAAAACAGTATTTGCAAAAAGTAATATTTCGTCTATGGACGCAGGAAACAAACTTCCTGATCAACAACACTAATATAAAGGCGCGAGCTCTATGTATGCATACTTATTGGTTGCTACAGCTTGTTGATTCGTACACAAGCAAGATCCCCGAGCTTCGCAGCGTCGAGATTCCCAGCACTGGCTCGTCCACATACCTTAATTGGAACGCTAACAGGAACGTTCAAGTACAAAAATACAACAAGCATGTGTTAAGACAAGCTATACCTCTCAGGCTTGTGCTTAAGCTTTCAGATCTGGCCATTTAGGTTAGTTTAGAGACCACAATTACGCTCTCGGGACCAGAAAGCAATCTCTTGTCGACGTGTCGATCGAAACCGAAACCATACCACCCTCCTCCCTGGCCAACTAGTTCCCAGAGTGCAACGCGCGCCGTGTTGCATGCAGGGCTTTATGGAAGTAGTCACATTATAGATGTCGAGAAAGTATAATCACACTTGCGACTTGAGACAGTCGCTGGAGCGACTAGCGACAAGCGACTGGCGACCACCAGTGTTTACACCTGATTGAGCGACCGACGAGTCGCCAGGCTCGCTGCCAACTTGACGGATAGTAATCAACTCCTTTTCGAGACGGCTGAAAGGTTTTTCTGATCAAAGGTGCCGGCAGGAAAAAACAAGAAAACATAATGCTGCTTCGGAACGTAAAACAACGGCTATATGTGCGCTCCCTCAACCGTGATATTGTACGTACCTGCCATGCCGAAAACGTCGCCGATCTCGTTTTACGCCTGCAGCTTTTTGCCCCGATCCTTGTGTTCGGGTGCCGCTTATTGCACAGAAACAAATAGTCTTTGACGGCATTAATAAGAGCTTCCGCGGAGAACTTCATGCCAGTGACCGCCGCCGTGCGCCCGTCGCTATTTCCCGCGGGAAGCAGTGCCGAATGTAAACAAACGCACACATCACTTCCGATGAGGCTCCGCCGTCCAGCGACTCGGTTTGCGACTTGAGAAATCGGTCAGGGAGCGACTGCCCAAAATCGGTCGCTACCGACCTGTTTTGGTCGCTCCGCGACCAAAAACCAGTCGCTAGTCGCTAGTCGCTCCAGCGACTGTCGCAAGTGTGAACGGGCCTTATGGGTGTCATCGGCATATTGAAATGCTTTAGAAGTTGTGATTGACGTTGAAATATCATTTACGTAGATGTTAAAAAATAATGGAGACAAAATAGAGCCTTGTGGAACTCCGGAAGTTAGGAAAGCGAGGGAGCTGCGTACGTTACCAACTGAAACAACTTAGGTACGATTTATTAGAAAACTTTTTAACAATGCATGAAATGGGCCACGAAAGCCCACTCTGTAGAGCTTGTCTAAGAGGATATTATGGTTTACGGAATCGAACGCCTTGGCAACGTCGATAAAGAGTGCGCACACAAACATGTTATTGTCAAAGGAAGAGTGTAGAATCTCCGAAAACTCTTCAAGAAGATTAATGGTACCATTAATGTGAGAGCTAATAATAATAATAATAATAACAATAATAATAATAATAATAATAATAATAATAATAATAATAATAATAATAATAATAATAATAATAATAATAATAATAATAATAATAATTATTATTATTATTATTATTATTTCTGTGTCGATATTTTAACCTGTATGCAATACCATAAACCTTCGTGAAAAGTTATCCGCAGTTTTTTCCTTAAATGTTTCTAGTGACCGCTTGCTCCTGAATATTGTGAAACGAAACTGAAAAGTCCGTGGAAAGTAAACGGACAAAGGAAGCCACTTGACGGGGTAATTTTTTTTTAATTAAAGGTATTAATCTTTAAAGCATTTTTTCCCCTTTTGGAGTCGTACCTACGGAGACATAGGGGCGGTAATATGCGGGTCAGAAATAATGTTCCAGTGCGCCGCGGGGAACCGAAACAAGAAGAGAACCAGGAACGCGAGAGAAAGCAAAAACCGAAGAAACATGCGCGCGTGCACAGACGCACGCACGGGCGCGAGTACGCGTCGAAGGCAGGCGAAATAAAAACCGGCCCGAGTATCGATTCCTATTCATGCGCGTTTGCCGTCATCCCGTTTTCTGCCAGGTGGGGGTGCTAGCAGCCGGTGGCGGGGAGCTTCCGGTTGGAGCACATCCGGTGCGGCGGTCGGCTGGGCCGGCGGCTTGCTGCTTCTGCTGCTGAGGTAAGGGCGCATCATCTGGTTCATTCAGCGAACGGTGGGCAGCCTCCTTCGGCCCGACTTTCGCTACGGGCGCACCCATACGCCACCACCGTTCTGCCGAGACCCGTTGGGACGCTGTGGGTTTTCGTAAAGGAGTACGGCAATGGGTCCGTTGAAGCGTAGATCGCGTTCGAACGTCTACTAAGCCTAAAGGAGGGCCTTGCGGAGGAGATGAAAGCAACGCGACTTGCTCGGGTTGGTAGCAGCAGCAGCAGCGATCGTGGTTTGTAGCGGCTTTTGGCACTTCCCGTTATTTGTAGCGTTCAGTGTCTCGGTCGTTATTTGCTCCGTCGTATCGCTGCTGGTCGTGTCGGTGTAGGATGGCCTGTCAGCGAGTTGACAACTTTACGTTTGTGTGGAAAATAGGTACAGGTATGCCAAGGTGTGTGTGTGTGTGTTGCTTTCTATTTTGAAAGCGGGGAAAAAAAAAAAAAAAAACTGCCTTTAAATGACCGGAACGATTTTGGCTTATAACAACTCGCGTGTCGGACTAAAAACGCTTCGGTTTCTTTAGCGTTTCGTGATTTGAACGGGGGAAAAAGCGTGCTTCGTTCCTGGCAATATTGTCGTTTGGCTTGCTATGCGAAAGAAGTTTAACCTTGGACGCACCTGTGTGACGAGTTTCCCTGCTGCTGCTGCATGAGTACTGTACACACGGAAAAAAAGACGAATGTCATTTTTTTTAATGCATTTCCTCATTGTCTTTTTCCAATCCTATGTTCACCGATGGCGATCATTTTATGTTACTAACCGTATGCCCATAAATCGCTGGAGCTGGACAAACTGACCTAATCTCTTCGGAGTTCCTTCGGATTTGGCCAGATTTCGGGCAGTGGTATTTCACAATGTTGAGAATATTCTATTTTACAAATTAATTTCTAGGTCTTTCTCAGAAGGTTGTGTTCATTTCAATATTTTTTTTTCAAGAAAGGGAGTTAATCAGTGAAATTAATCCCTTTTATAGTTCACTCAAAATGAACGTGCTTCTTGGAAATAAGTATGTCTGGAGCAGCTATATCTGCTGAGTAGTTCCATTGTATTGCCGACTGAGTGCTGTGTTGTCACTCACATGTCTAACGTCAAGATCCTGTCACTGAAGTTGCTTGCAACTTGATCCATATATCCTGTGACAGTATTGTTTGTACAGGGACAATGCATTCTAACAACTTGTTTCGGACAAATCGTAAACATTACTTCTAGTCATAACAGGGAGGTTTGAATATACCATCCAATTTTGAGTTAATCCATCTGTTTGAGTATCAGCTCTAGCTGTTTCTTAATTGACAGTGTGAGTGTTTGTGCCACTGACATTTTATTTTGTCAATATTTATATGCACATACACTGATTTGTAGAAAACTGCATACATTGTTATTTGTTTCTGTCCTGTGATATTGGATTCACATTTTTATGACCCATATTAACACCTAGTACTATCACTTTGTGTTTGCTTTCTGTGGCCTCAATTTTTTTGGGTATACCTTATGGCTGTTCAGATGCCACAGAAAGAGTGGTTGTCAAGCTTTTCCTTTTGCACTGAATCAAACCATTTGCAGCTTATTTCTTGAGCACTACTTGTGTGTTCATTCCTGTTCATCTGCTGGCAGAGTTATCTAGACTCTGGGTTACTCAGCCTTTATTGGAGATGTGCTCAAGTATAAACCTACTCTTCTGAATTCACTTTGAAAGGAATGAAATGGCAGTTCAGAATTCCACTATGGTTAAAAAGGCACTCAAGTGCCTTTTGTAGCAGCTTGTTTTTGATGGCATATTGTTTGTTAAGCTTCAGTCCGTAAAAATAACTGGTTCTAGATGGCAAGACATTTAGTAAACTCACAGCAATAGAAATACACTGATTCTTTTTTTCTTTTGGGCGGGTCTTCCTCGGGTCTCCACCACCTCCATAAAGGATTCGAAAAGCGCCAGAAAACAAGGACAACAGAAGGAATAGACGAAACAATGCATTCGTCTATTGTTCTACCTCCATAAAATATGACAAATGAAATTAGTTCTGTGGAGATTCCGAACATTACTCTTATTGCTCTTTTTAGGCACGATGTGCATTATATTTTCACAAAAATGTCAAATCTTTGGGTTTAGGAGATGTAATACAGCAATTATTGTTTGAAAATGCCGTCTGAAGCGTTTAGTGTCTGCCCCAAGGCGCAGAAAGAGGGGCGTGTCACAATCTTTGATTAGATTTTTAATAGGGAAATTGGCCGTGCATGAGTAATTTTTTTTTCTTTTTTTAGGATGCTTGGTGCCCATAGATTAGTTATCGCCATAAATAGATGATCTCAGATTCCACTTGAGTGCCCCTTCAAAGTTGAATGACTTCTGTAATGTGTTTCATTAGCCTTATACAACGGCAAACTGTGTAAGCGCAGTAAAAAAGTTGATTTCAACTCGTGCACCTTATTTGAGAGCCAAGTTAGACAGACCATGGCATTCTATTGCTAAAGAACCCTTCACATCTCGAGTAACGTATAACAAGAGCCATAAAAGTTGACAAAGGTTAGGATTTTACATAGCAATGCTTCCATGGTTAAAACGCCACAATTACTACCGAGGTTCTGTTGTCATATTATTGCACGCAACATGGTGCAACCTTTGTAAAGATGACCACCGTAAAATGCCGGGGAAGCGCCCCCCCACCCCACTTCCACTAAAAAATTGGTTAGTCTAGACATGGGCGTTCGTCTGGTTCAAGCAATCAAAACCAAGATGGCGGCAGCGTGCACGAGAAGTGAGAGAACTGCGGTAGCTTGCACACTTTACCAAGATATGTCTCAGAAAAGCCCTGGGACAACTGGTTTTGTTTCCAAGAACTGCTCATTGTCACACCGCATTATCTTCACCCCCGTCTGTCCTGACATGGCTACAACTGGGCTGCTGACCTCCAGCACTGTAGGGACCTCTCACTTTACCCAAGTGAACTAGATAATACAGTTAATGGTTTCCCCTGCCCAAAAAGTCTTTCCCTTTTTATCGCAAGGAAGCACATATCCCCGTCATCCCCGCTGGTGTTCTTGCAGCTGCCATGGTGTGGTGAATATTTGCGGTGCTTTGGAGGGGTGGGTGCTTAACGGGTTACTGAATCGAAATTTCGAGCTCACAGAACAAGGCTGGATGGATAGGCGGGGTGCTGTGAAACCCAAAAACATCACTCGTACAGCAATATCTCTAACTGATTGCCATATTTTTGGAAAAGAAATGCGCAATTGAACACGGCCGACGAGATAAGTCACATCGCGATTTCATTCCCTCTCCTCACTACGTCCCGTGGAGCTGGTAACCGAAGCGAGAAGGAGAGAAGCGGGGCCGCTTCCCCTCATTATCAAATTTTCCAGGAGGACAATGATGTCAAAGACCTCGCTTGATCGCCCCCTTCTTTTCCAAAAGTTCGGCCATCCGTTTGAGGTATCGATGTATGAGTGATGTTTTGGAGTTTGTTGTGTCCCGTTCAATGCTTCTGCGGGCTTATTTTATGAAATCCAAATTTCGGTTCAGAATCCCTTTAACATATGATCAGAATTCCGAAGTTTTGGAAATGTTAATAGTGTGCGCTTGTCCGAAAGTGGGTGCTTCCTTGGTATTTTACGGTAGGTTTTTCAACTTCAATTTTCTTTCTTGTTGAATTGATGGTACTTACAAGATGAGCTGCAGAAAAAGTTGACAGTTGCATTATGGGCATGTGGCTCACACATGGTGTTGCCTCTTTCATCATTTCAGTGCAGGTTGTTTATTAATCACTTAATTGTAGCAGGTTATGTGTGCCTTTGCTCTAGCATTAAGTAACGATTTTGAATTCTATTTGGGATATAATCTTGTTTGCATTGCTGAGTCCCTTATTCATAGAACACATAACAATATTGATTTATTTCTTTATACAACTTCCACATCACTTCTTTTCTACACCTGCCCAGTTTTAATAGTTTGTGGGCAATGGGAGTGGACAGAAGATCACTTTTGTTCATTTCTGAGAGTATTTTGCAATGTTCTCAAGGACTTAAAAATGTTTGCAGACAGGAAATGATCAAGCGATAAATTTATTGGTCCTGGCAGTCACAAAACGTTTAACTGCAAATGCTTGAAGATCACATTTTTAATTCCGTCAAATTAGGCCAAAGTCACATGCATGATTCCATGGCATGTATAACCTCACTTTGGGCTTGTCTAGTTTTTCTTTAAAGTATTTCTAAATGTTGCAGTGTATTCCCATGTTCTGGGGTTCACAGAGTTGTTAGTTAGCATCCTGTCTTTGTAGAGTCTTTGGTTGGTTTGCTTTGTCATCCTTACAAATAATGTCTATTATTTCACCTTGACAGATTAATGACAAGCATATTCACAACTTTCTGCTTCATTCTTTTTAATTTGAGTATTAGTTAAAGGGGCAGTACAACGATTTTTGGACTTTGGTCCATTCTGGAAATTATAGTCTTTCTTATTGAATTAAAATCAGAAAACCATTTCTGCTTGCAAATGCTAGTTTTCATTTGAAAAGAAAAAAAGGAACATATTGAACTTTGGTACCCCTCAACTCTTGCACCACCTTCCAAGTCATGTGTGCATTGACATGATAATGAGACAGGGAGCTTCCGGTTGTGTTCTTGAACGTGCTCAGGAGTTCCCTTCATTCTCAGGTGATCCGGAGGTTTTCGCCTCGAATCGAAACACTTTCCACACCCTGGTTTTTTATCATGTTGGAACACCACAACCAGAGCCCTACTGTAAACGACTTAATTTTCGCGAATCGCCTACAATTCGCGAGAAATAGGTCCCGCGAACAATTCCGGTAAAATGTAAACACGTTGGAGTCTAGATTGAGATCCCAGCACGTCGCGAAAATTAGAACCCGCGAAGTATTACGAAACTTCAGCTTTGACCTAAATCGCGAAATATTGAGCCCGCGAAAAATGAGTCGTTTTACAGTATCTAATGTTTGCAGTGATGGAAGAGCTGTGCCATTTGCGCCAAATTGCGCTGTGAATGAAAGTCTGCTACATCTTGCGCCAAAATGCAATTTTTGCTGAGAATTGCGCCACACCTGCGCCGAAATGGGATGAAAGAAAACAAAAGAATATTGCTTTATTTATTTAGAGAAGTAGGAGGAAAGGAAAATGGTAGAAATGCATATTTCACAGCACCCCTACTCACCATATGGTTTGCCTTTAAGTCGCAGCGGAGTCGAAGGATCAAACACATACCTAAAAGCGCAAGTTATGGGATGTTTGCCGCACTTGATTGGCCTAGCCAATGAAGGAACGCCTACAGGAAGAGGACGAATGCCATGATGCCGCTCACTGAAGCTGTTTGAGTGTTCCCATTGACTCGTAGCGTAGGCTGCGGTTTTACTTATGGTGAAACGAAGTAGTATAGAGATTGCTCGTTGACTGCGCTGGCCGATTGATCGCAGACGTCGTCTAAATTTCTAGGTGGTGTCAGGAACTAAAAGTCGTGGGCAAACTTGGCAAGATAGGATGACAGCTACTGTAATACGACAAAACCAGGGTCTTGTACTCCTGCTGACATCACTTGGTTATCATGTCTGTCAGATGACTTTGTACCGTGGCTACTGTGTATCCTGGCACTTGTGCCGCTCGCTTCGGCCTTTACCGCCTTTCACTAGCGTGCGTGCGTCGAGCTTCACTGCTTTGCACCGGGGTGTCAGGAGCAGCGGCTGACATGGGGAGCTCCGGGGTTAACGCGATAGGCACGGAAAGCTTGGGATAATTGCAAGTCTACCTTCTTTGGTCTTGGTTGTAGGTTACAGGCATAGGCTGTAACAAAGATACATGTATCTTCGATACTATCTTTCGAAACATTTTGTGTATCGGTATTAAGCATCGCTTGCCAGAAATGAAAGTATCGGCGTGTCGGTATGAAAAATGCAGTTTTAGTGTATCGTGTATTTTCACAATACTCGATACTCAAAAAAAGAAGAAAAAAAAAAGGATTTTTTTGGAAGATGCTGCGAGTCAGACTTTGGGCCAGCGGCGCTCGCTCAGGTGGTAGCACGCTGAAAAAAGGGATCCGTTGATCTCTTTTTTTTTTTTATCTTTTATTCGTTCATAAAAGCTGCTTTCATCCAATACAACACGGCAGTGTGCTCGGCTGCTCCTGTAGAGAGGCTTTTTTAAAATTTGCTTCGCTTATAGCATGGCCGTATTGCATGGCTCTTATGGACCGGGGGTTTGAGCAAATGCTGTTGCTTGAGACCATTAATGGTAATGTCTAAATAAAAGAGATCAGCAAGCTATGTATCGCCTAAAAAAGAACTTTCAACCCTTTTAGTTTAATTTTTTTCCTTCTTGCTTTTACCGCAGAATGTTAAACTTCAAACATCTATTAAACACAGTACTGGGGAAATAACTGTCTGGCTTTCTTTAAAGGCCCCCAAAAAGAAAAAAAAACAGCTTTTTTAATACAGCCTGGTTGGGACTTACGTAACAAAAAATAAATTTTGCACAAAAGAAAGGAAAAGCAATATTGACGGCGAGAGTTTTATTTGAAATTCTGCACGCAAAGTCCATGACGTCACGGAATGGTCATTCGCTCACCAAGATAGTAATTCGCTTTCCACCTCAACGTGAAAGCGAAGGTGAGCCACCTCTCCTCCACGCGCCCGAAATTCCAAGAGAGAAAACAAGTGGAAAGGAGGTGACTACCAACTGGATTGCATCTCGCACAATCAATATTGCTCTAAAAAAAGATTTTTTTTCCTCATAGTTTTAATTTTTTGACACGCGTGTCCCAACCAGATAGAAAATATTTTTTTTTTTTTAGGAGCATTTTAAGCACACAGACCTTGCACCTTTCAGCACAAGGCAAAGGCAGAGCTAACTTGGTAAATACTGCAGTAACAAACGAAAAGCATCAGAAAAAATTTCAAGTTAATTCTTGTATATAGTCAAGTGCTCAGAGGCTGGTTCGCATGAAGAGCACTAGTTAAAAATATTGCTACGCTGATTATGCAAGCGATTGTTTTAATGTCACCATGGTTTCAGTTCAATTCTAAAGGTCTAAGGTACTTGGGACATTTGTATTTCCTAAAAATAAAATCTGTAGTCAGTAAGTGTTGGGCTTTATTTCATACCTTACTGTTGCATCTTGAAATCTTTTTGTTTTCAGTAGACTTATGCAATTTGTGAGTTGGGTTGTTAAATAGGCACAACGTTGGGGGGTGTTCTGATTAGGCTTAAATTGTGCTGCTTTTGTTGGCTATGCTTTCTATAGGGAATCCATAAGAGGAACCAACCCGCTACCAGGACCGTTCTCTGTAGCTGCCATTCAGATAATTTGCAATTACGCTGTTTCCTTTTGATGCTATGGGCTGGATTATATTTAAAGAAAGAGTATGTTTGGAAATGGTTCTGAAATGTCACCTGGAGATCCTTTTTTGTAGTGCTATTGTTGTATTAAAAAAAAACAAAAAAACACGTCTGCACTTATAGCCCCGAGTTTGATTTGGATGACCACCTCCAAGATTTAGTTTTACCACTACAAAAGTCAACCTTTGTGGCTCCTGAGCTGCTCCAAAGGTGCATCTTTGCTGCTTTCAGACCTCCTACAAAAGTCTGAAGCTTGCTTCCACCCCTGAGACTAGCGTTTTTTTTTTGGGTGGAGAAGTTAGAGCTTTTTTATTTTAGATGTGGTTCTGGTACAATTATGTAAAATAAAGTAAATTAGACATTCCCACCAGCTAATGCCTGCACAATTTTTTTTTTAAATCATTGTTCTATATCACAATCATTTGGCAAGCTGTATTGAAATTTTTGTATGTACTCTTGCCACCCTAAACTTAGTAACTGATACTTAAGGTATAATTGGCCTTGGACGAACAATAATTAAATAAAAATATGCATTAATTTGATTAAGTTGGAACTTGGAAATGCGTTCCATGCAGGACGGACTCAAAAGAAGAAGGGGCTGTTTCTCCTTTCTAAGTCGTTTAATGCAACATGTTTTCAATGTGGATGGATGTCCATATAGACTAAATCAAGTAAAGCAAATGCAAAAAATAAAACAAAAAGGAAGATGTTTTTTTAATTTTGTCACATTGTCTTTTTTCTTGTCAATCCCATGTTTGCGTGCTAATATTTCGGCAACCATTCCATACAGATGCTTTATATTTACATAATTTTATATCTGTGAGATTTTTGTGCGTCCCACTCTCTTTTTGTGAAAATATTTGTGGATTAGTTTATACTTGGCATTAGCCAGTGACATAAAGATATCAACAAATGAGTTATGTTGACCAGCAGCCTTTTTGTTCGATATATGAAATTACCCAGTTAGTGATTTTGTGTTTTTGTAAACATCAAGTTCTAAACTTTTTTGATGTTAAGAACTTCAGCTTTTGAACTAGCCAGAACAATGAATTGTTCAATTGCAATAACCCTTTGTTATATTTGATTCAGTTTGCCGCACTGGTTCATGAGAGTTTGCTGAACTGAATAGCTCATGAGAGGCCCAGTTACCAAGGCGTTCAGAACTTTAGAATTTTTTTTTAGAATGTGTCCTTAACCATGGTCTTTGCCACATGGATTCAACACTCACAACACACCTCAGTGAATGTATGCAAAGGCCTTGGTTGAGCCTGGCATTGTTCTGGATTTGAATGTGCATGCCTATATTTCTTTGTTGTTACTGTAAATTGCAGTATGTTCTTGGGATTAATATTTCACCAACTTGGGAAGCCACTTCTTTTTCATGTATTTTTTATTTGGAGGTAAACTGGTCCATGGGTCCTATGTAATTAGTGTAATATTATTGTAATTTACTTAATTGTGGTAAATTTCACATTTTGAAAAATATTGCAAAATCTGGGTCACATGAATACAGCACCTCACGGGATGCATTCATAGTGTTCCACTCCTGGTCATGAAATTTTGAGCATGTGAAATATTCCCAAAACCCACAAGTTGAAAAAATCTTGAGCCCGTGAGATTCGAGGCATTCACAGAATATACTAGTATTCACATTGTCAGCTTTTGCACTACTTTTGAGAAACTAGAAACTGAAGCCACTGCAAAATATAAGTTGTTTAGAGTGACTCTTCTGCTCCTTGTTTGCAATTAAAAGCTGGCATGTTCCACAATGCAGGTCTGAGTGAAGGCATCGGGCATTGATCTTCACTCATGAGTGCTGCGATCTGCCGAGTGCCAGGCCGTGCTGCCCTTGAGCCTCTGCAGCTGTAAGCACTGTCCTCAGTGCTGTGACCAGCTGAAAGCTAAAGGATGGAGGACCCCCAGCAAGAAAAGGCCAACAATTCAGATTCAGTGAGCTGTCTTTTTTGCTGTTCCTATCTGTTCTCATTCTTGATACCCCACGGAACCTTTTGGGGGCAATTGGGTGTTTAGTGAGACTCCAATTAAACTAACTCAACATTGCCTTGCTAGACAGTGTTGAGTCAATAAGCTATGTTTGGACTGCTATCGAGCTAGTCTGAATATGTGCAGTCCCAGTTGGGGACATATGTTTTTCAAAATGGTGGTTCTAGATAGTATTATTAATAGGTCTTTTCTTCTCGACTCAGGTAAGAGGATGGGGTCAAACTTGTAATCTTGACAAAAATAAAATGTTTGGGGGAATTCTTGAAATGAGAGAGAGTACAAACTGCAAGCTTGCAGATTTTTTGCTTTCAAGTTAATGATCATTGAAGTGTCAAAGGTGAAAACTGACGTGTCTTCTACCTGTCGGGGATTGCATGTTTGACCGCTCGGTATTTTGTGACTTCTCGCACTACTGCACTAGAACTTGTCTGTGCCATTCTCGAAATAGATTTTATTATGGTTAATGATTTGAAAATAATCTTAAATTTTAAAATCATCTGGAAAAAAATGTCGAGCTATCTCCCTTTTAATGATTTTTGTCAAAGTTTGGCAAGTTTTTACGTGTGACTTATTTAGGATATTTCAATGACCTTGATATCATTAGGAAGCTCAAACTTAGTTGTTTCTATTGAATACAAATTCAATACTATATGAACAAAATAAAATTCCCTTTTACACTTCAATGAGCAAACATTTAAAAAAACCTAGGAAATTTGCAAAATATTTTTTTCCAAAAGCCCAATTTTTATTTGCTTCATTTTTTATTAGTAGCAAAGTATGAACAGTGATCTATCATAAAATATAAATATAATATAAATTATTAAATGTGCATTGTAAAATGGCAAACTTTGTTGCTGAGTAAACTAAGTTTTACTCTGCATTATGCACATTTTCAAATATTTTAAAGCTTACATGTTGAGTATTAATGTTAAAGGACACATGCAAAGGAAAAAAACTTTTTTTTTTTTTTAAACAGGCTAGACAGAAAAAGAATATTATAAAACGAATTTACAACGAAAAAAAAAAAATTTAGAGCTATATTTACGGCGCAAAACGAATTTGTAGCTGGCGCCCGCGGGAGCCGCTGCTGGTCACGTGGTAGGCCTATGCGCCGCCGCACGCTGAGCGTTGTATGACGCCGCTTCGTGTTTCTCCACGCCGCCGTTGCCGCCACCGCACAAGTTCGTCTGCTTCGGGACGCTGCCACCGTCATCTGACCGGCGCACAAGTCTATCACATCTGCTTGCGCTTTTTCAGGAGTTTCCTTTGGGCTTGAAAGTTACTTATTCATCTTAGTTTTTTTGTTATACTTCAAACAAAAATGAATAAGTTACTTTCAGAGGCCATAGGAAGCTTCTGAAAGAGCGCAAGCACCACGTGACAAATATGTACCAGTCTTGTGATAAATAAAGGCCACTTTTCCGTGGCACCCGCGGGTGCCAACTACAAATTCGTATTGCGCCATAAATATAGCTAAAAAAATTTTCTTTTTCGTTGTAAATTCGTTTTATGACTTCCTTTTCCCAACCAGGATGTTTAAAAAAAATGTTTCCTTTGCATGTGTCCTTTAAGTAATTACCATATTCATGCCACAATATTGGGCAGAATAGCACCGATGTGAGGATGCGGTGACAATGCACAGCTGATATGATTCAAGCTTTACTTGCAATCGCACAAAAAAAATACCACAGCTTCTATTTATGTTTTTTAATAAACCAAAATGATACCTTGCTACTAATAGAATATGAAGGAAATAAAAACTGCGGCTTTTGAGAAAATCGGTCCCAAATTTGCTAGATTTCCTAAACATTTGCTCATTCAAGTATATATAAAAAATTTTAATTTGTACATATAATATGGAATTTGTATGCAAGTGAGCTTTCTGGTGATATCAAGATCATTACAATAATTGAAATAGGCCACCCATAAGAACTTGGTAGTCTTTGGCAAAAATCATCAGAGATAGTTTGACACATTTTTTAAAAATTATTTTAAATATTTTTTTATTTTTATTTATTAAGCATAATGCAATTTATTTTGAGAGTGTCACAAAAGTGCTCTGGTGCAGTATTGTGATAAGTGACAAAATAGCGAGCGGTCAAACATGCAATCCCCGACAGGTGGGAGAAAGATCAGTTTTCACCTTGGCAGCTTCAAAAGTCAATAACTTGAAAACAAAGAAATTTGCGCCAAGCTTGCCATTTGCACTTGGCAGACTCTCATTTCAAGAATGGTCCTGAAACATATTTTTTGTCAAAATAAAAAAAAATGAATTCCAAAACCATGCCTGAATAGTGATGGAAAATGCCCAATAGGTCTTCTAGTTCTGGGTGTTGATGTTTTGTCACATTGGGCAGTAAATTGGTTTACATTACTTAGTGAAATACTCTCTGGCATCTAAATAAAACTAAGGAAAACATCCTGATGACTGCTCTGACTTGCACCATACAAAGAGTCAATACTAGTTTCCTGGCAAACAATCAAATGGCTGCACTTTTTTATTATCATTTGTACATTTGGAGGTGATTTATAGATATTTCTTTATATTTCTTTAAAGCTTCAATTATTTACAGCAGCTGCTAGGATGTCATCTGGCTGGTACAAGTTCAATATGTTTTGGCTTTGTGCGACTGGCAAAAATTGTGCTTCGTCAACCCCCAAAACAGGATTCTAATTTTTTGGCATTGAGTATTTATTTATTACGGCCCCCTTTTTGATTCTAAAGGAGTTATAGTGGTTAGAAAAGGGAACTTGGGTGAAACTAGTAAATTTCTGGGGGTGTGCAATTTTAAGGATGTAGCACAGAGATACAGGAAGCACATTGCCATTATAGCCTGAGGAAACAAAGTGGAACATTGATTGCTCTTTAGTTGTTTCTGCCACAAAACATTTCGCTTTGAACGTCACATCGCATTGGACTCTCCAGGTGTCAAGTCCTGGGCGTAGCAGCCCAGCCTCGCAGCAGAGCGATCATGGCAGTCAATCACGGCCTCCTCCAGAACATCGAGTAGAGGCCCCTGTTGCTGGTAATAATCTTTAGGACCATCTCAATTGCAGGGTTGAAAAAGTACAACATAAGCAATGCTGTGCTCCTGCTATCTACGCTTTTTTTATGTGGGTTGCATGGCTGCTAAACACCACGTGAAGGGAGTATTCGGTTTTGGAATTCTACAGGCACGGGAACAAGCCGGCGACGCAGGGCTGTCGACTGGGAGATCATGCAGGGCTTACGCAGCGGCCAGCGTTGTGAGGACAAGCCACGCAAATTCGAAGGGTACCTGCTCAAGCGCCGCAAGTGGCCCCTCAAAGGCTGGCACAAGGTGAAATTCTCAGCATGTCACTAGAAGCGGACTGTTCAAGCTGTTAACCCTTGAACGAATGCCTGCTGCTTTTGCCGGTCTCCGTAAATCTGGATCGTTGGCTCCCACATGCTCCATGGGGAAGTGAGGGCATAGGCCTTCATCTGATGTGAAGCATGTGTGAGAAAAATATATTGACTCGAGTAGTGTAGGCCGCATATAACGTATGTCGCGGGAGTCGCGAAAATCCGCACTATAAGCGGTACCGCGCTATAACCAAAACATCAATTTTTCAGGCCAAAATACATGCCATGAGACGACTTACCTTTGTAAAAGAATTTATTTTATGTTAGATGAAAAATAAAGCTTGGTTTGAGGAAAGTCTTTATTTCACCAGACTAGTACACTTCTCTCTCAAGTGTGTCACACATTTTGAAAGAAATGAGCGACTTTTGCCTGGCGCAGCCTTTTAATGGCGTTGCGGGTTGCGGACGGACGTTGCGAGCGTTTAGGATTGCTAACCCTAATCACTTTTCTCCGGTGATGAAAACGCGTGAAAATTCGCATCCTTTATACGGTACGCGCCAGTAATACCTTCAACTTGAGCACAGGCATGAAATGCTCCAAATAAGAAATCCGAGCGATGTTCGAAAACACGAATGCTTAGAAATCACCACTGTAGTCGAAGTAAACAAACACGACGACACAGTCGTTTCTGCCGTCTTGAGAGTGCCGCCACGACATCACCGCACAAGTAGGTGGATCTTCCCTTCTAGTACGTGCTGGGTTATCATAGTGACACACAACGAAAATTCACAGTCAAGGATAGCGCTTTTACGCGGAACAATGAGCTTCCACCACGCCGTCTACGTCGACGATCACCACCGACGCCATGTTTGCGGATAGAAGAATAGAAGAAGCCGGCCCGCGACCGGCATGCAACGCGCGCGAACACTTCTCCCCGACCTGCGATTGGTCTGTCGTTGCGGGTGTTTCCAACATGTTCCAACGCAGCGGAGAGACGCACACACGTGAACGGCACGTGCGTGCATCCCTCCGTTGCTATGGCAACTGAAGCCTCTCTCTTCACTTCTCCCCGCTTCTTCGAGCAACCTCCTTGCTCCGCGAGTGCCGCTTGCGGCTAGCGCCGTTATCTAGTGTCGCACAGGAAGCGTGCTCGCTGCGCCGGTTGGTCGGCGCGGTTGGCGGGCTGTTCCAGAAACCGCACTATAACCGGTATTTCCCTTCGCGCGCCTGCATTTCAAGCGGTATGTAATTACATAGAGTTCTATGGGAGGCGAACCGGTGGTTTAAAAAAGCCGCGTTATACCCGGTCCTGCACTATAAGCGGTTACGTTGTAAGTGGTCTATACTGTAATCACCACACTGTTTACGAACAAAGCCTGCACATCTACTCTCCACGGAGCAGACCGGTAGCCAGCCAATTGTTGTGATCGGCAGAAGCAGCCCAGCTACTTACGGAAAAGAGGTAATGTCTTTGTATGATAATGGCATCTGCGCAGCTCTCCTTTTCAGCAGAGGATTGTTTTCTTGACTTCGTTATTTATTACATTTCTTATGTAGAAGGCAATGATTGGCTGTATCTGTGCTCTTTGGAAAAGTAGGCGTGCAGGCCTTATTCATAAGGAAAGTGTCAATTACACAAGTAAATATGGTATTTCATTAACTGTCTCACTGTTGTGTAAAAGCCTTGCTCGTCAAACGTGCAGTTGGCTTGCGTGTTTCTGAAAGCTGTAAGGGCAAGCTGGTACCATTCTTAGCTGCTCCATGTGCACTGAGAAATTTGTCTACAACTGCCAGCTTATGCTTGCAACTTTACAGTGCTGGGGGGTGGAAACTCAGTCACTAATATGCTAGAAAATGTTTTTAGGGGTGTGCAGTTTGAATCGAATAGCGCCGTGTCATTTATAGCCTTCACAGTGCTGGTTAAACCCAGGACATACTGGCTCTCTTTGCAGTGTTGAAGCTAGGGATAACACTGTGCTATTCGATTCAAAGCAGTATTCGCACAACCCTAATTTTTTTCTAATCAATAAGCACTCGGTGTAATCTTATGAGTCAGCAAAAAACACGTTGCCTTGGCAACAGGTCGATCTAGGGCAGATTGGTCAGGTACAGCAATTTGGAGAGGGTTCAAAGTGGGTGTCCTGAAGAGGTGGAAGCAAAAATGTAACTGGAAGAGTGTGGCCCTCCAAGATTACTTGTATATTTTCTACATAAGGCAGACAATACTTATATTTGAAGCAAAGCAGTGTTGGGTAAAGTACATATAAAAAGTACTTGACGTTAAGTACAAAGTAAATGATAGGTTATGTACTTCAAGTAAAGTAGTAAGGACACTGGGCACAATTTACTTGAAGTAAAGTACTATAAGTACAATGTACTTTCAAAGTAAAGTACAAGTACTTTCTAACAATTTTTTATCATGCCATATCATTCCCCTGTACAGTGTATATTTCAAAACTGTTATGCATTGTCTCAGGGGTAATCGGGGGTGCATCAGTTATTTCCGGAAATAGTAGCAAGTATTGTATAAAGTCAATTATACACCCTTACACAAAATTTGATAACCATACGCCAAATAGTTACGTTGATATAAAATATTTCCAGCACATTGTGAGGCAATAACAAAGTAAAGGAGTTCAATGTTTGAATGCATTTTTCTCAGTTCCACTTTTTGCTGCAAATTTCATACGAAGGAATCTTTTGTTTGAAGGTAAAAGTATTCTGATAACGCAATCAAGATGTTTCTGAGCTGAAATTTACTAGGGAGTCAGGCTATCTACTTCATTTTGTTTTAAGTTGAACTCCTCATTGAGAAAAACTGTTTTCATAAATTGACGTAGGACAGATATGCATCTCATATATTAAGGTAATAACTCTTCCTGAAATATTTACATTTGAGTTATAAAAGCTAGATAGCCCGAAGTCCCACATCTTCCACTTAATGAAGAGTGACACATCTTATGCAGGTATGTAAAGCTGTCCTAGAGAGTTTAAAGTTTGCACGGTATACCTACATCTGATGTTAAGTCTCCCCTGCAAATTTCATTCTGATCACTTGAATAGTTCAGAAGTTCAATCTCTAGCCCCCCCTTAAAGGGGCCCTGCAATCATACTTAAGCGTCTACCTTTTTTGCTGTTTCCACGTCTCTTAGGGTTCGGGCAAGCCAGCGGGCACGGAGAGAGTAACTAAATATCAGTGCGTCATATTTTAACCGGACAATGCGGAAACCTCCTTCACTGACGAGGGCGACCCGCGGTACCGAAAGCGCGCGATATGTGATCTCTTTGGTCCTGGGCTTACGACTGGTCAGAGCCGCTAAAAGCTTCTTTTTAGTCGAAATACAAAATATAAGTCGCACGAACCGTTTCAATTATTTATAAAAGTAGTTTTTGTTCAGTATTTTAGATCAGAAAAGAAACAAATGCAGTTTATAAAGTACGGAAACAAGAAATGACCTGTCGACATACCCGCCACCAAGTGGCGGAAAAGGTGGCGCATATTAGAAAGGAGTAGTGGGATCAGGTACCGATAGGGAAAGGTCCCCGATGTACGCGGCAGCGCTGCGGTCGTAGGGACTGGAGGATCCGACCGGCTCGAGCGTTCAAAGGCCTTCGGCGAGTAGCTTCGTGCTGCCATATCATTTCGCGGTATGGCAGCACGAAGTGGCTCCCATTCTGACCTGATCTTTACCCATTGTTTGCTGTCGTTTTATGGCCAATGAAGTGGCATGCCAGATTAGTGTTTAATCGCGCAGCAAATGTAATGAGAGCCGCTCTGGCTGCCTACTGCATACAGGCTATCCAGAACATGCTTTAGTGGCGCCCTCTCGCACCGTCGACACGGAGTGCGGCAGCCCGTGAGCGCTCGCTAACTCACTAGTTCATGTTCATGGCCACTCAAGCAACCAAGGACGTCATGAAGGAGGTTATTTTTTGCTTGTTTTTGTAATTTTAATTTGCCTATAACTTTTAAAATAAAGTGAAATTCGAGAAAAGAAAAGTTTTATTAAGTTACTACGTTCAGTGCGCTCAGGTTTGGTGCAAATTAAAAATTAGTAAAAAAGTAATTGCAGGGCCCCTTTAAAGTCGAGAGGTGTACTTTCCTCAGAAAGTACCAGAAAAAATACTTTTAAGTAAGGTACATCTACATACTCGGAGAATGTACTTCCAGTAAAGTACAAGTTTTTGAAACCTACTTGAAGTAGTACTTTACGAGGGACGTTCATGAAGTTCATATTATTGTCACAAAGGAATAGAGATTCAGCAATGAAACTCGAGTAAGAGTTAACACTTTCTTTGCTTGTTCGCCACCAAATGTTACCCACTTTTTCCAGCGATGCACCTTATGCCGGAAGTTATTGTTATAGAACTCCTCGTTTTGAGTGTTCAGGAATCGCTCCATTTCAGCAATCCCTTGTTTGCTGTCCTTGAAATGCTTTCCTCTTATTTGACCACTCTGGAAGTGTCTGCGCCATTTAACCAAAGTGTCATAAACTGGGGCGTTGTCCCCGAACAACGCTCCCAGTGGAGTGAATATCCTTGGCATTGGTTCCCTTCAAATGCAAAAAAACGGATCACTGCGTGTGCTTGGTTTGAGGAAAGTCTTTATTTCACCAGACTAGTACACTTCTCTCTCAAGTGTGTCACACATTTTGAAAGAAATGAGCGACTTTTGCCTGGCGCAGCCTTTTAATGGCGTTGCGGGTTGCGGACGGACGTTGCGAGCGTTTAGGATTGCTAACCCTAATCACTTTTCTCCGGTGATGAAAACGCGTGAAAATTCGCATCCTTTATACGGTACGCGCCAGTAATACCTTCAACTTGAGCACAGGCATGAAATGCTCCAAATAAGAAATCCGAGCGATGTTCGAAAACACGAATGCTTAGAAATCACCACTGTAGTCGAAGTAAACAAACACGACGACACAGTCGTTTCTGCCGTCTTGAGAGTGCCGCCACGACATCACCGCACAAGTAGGTGGATCTTCCCTTCTAGTACGTGCTGGGTTATCATAGTGACACACAACGAAAATTCACAGTCAAGGATAGCGCTTTTATGCGGAACAATGAGCTTCCACCACGCCGTCTACGTCGACGATCACCACCGACGCCATGTTTGCGGATAGAAGAATAGAAGAAGCCGGCCCGCGACCGGCATGCAACGCGCGCGAACACTTCTCCCCGACCTGCGATTGGTCTGTCGTTGCGGGTGTTTCCAACATGTTCCAACGCAGCGGAGAGACGCACACACGTGAACGGCACGTGCGTGCATCCCTCCGTTGCTATGGCAACTGAAGCCTCTCTCTTCACTTCTCCCCGCTTCTTCGAGCAACCTCCTTGCTCCGCGAGTGCCGCTTGCGGCTAGCGCCGTTATCTAGTGTCGCACAGGAAGCGTGCTCGCTGCGCCGGTTGGTCGGCGCGGTTGGCGGGCTGTTCCAGAAACCGCACTATAACCGGTATTTCCCTTCGCGCGCCTGCATTTCAAGCGGTATGTAATTACATAGAGTTCTATGGGAGGCGAACCGGTGGTTTAAAAAAGCCGCGTTATACCCGGTCCTGCACTATAAGCGGTTACGTTGTAAGTGGTCTATACTGTAATCACCACACTGTTTACGAACAAAGCCTGCACATCTACTCTCCACGGAGCAGACCGGTAGCCAGCCAATTGTTGTGATCGGCAGAAGCAGCCCAGCTACTTACGGAAAAGAGGTAATGTCTTTGTATGATAATGGCATCTGCGCAGCTCTCCTTTTCAGCAGAGGATTGTTTTCTTGACTTCGTTATTTATTACATTTCTTATGTAGAAGGCAATGATTGGCTGTATCTGTGCTCTTTGGAAAAGTAGGCGTGCAGGCCTTATTCATAAGGAAAGTGTCAATTACACAAGTAAATATGGTATTTCATTAACTGTCTCACTGTTGTGTAAAAGCCTTGCTCGTCAAACGTGCAGTTGGCTTGCGTGTTTCTGAAAGCTGTAAGGGCAAGCTGGTACCATTCTTAGCTGCTCCATGTGCACTGAGAAATTTGTCTACAACTGCCAGCTTATGCTTGCAACTTTACAGTGCTGGGGGGTGGAAACTCAGTCACTAATATGCTAGAAAATGTTTTTAGGGGTGTGCAGTTTGAATCGAATAGCGCCGTGTCATTTATAGCCTTCACAGTGCTGGTTAAACCCAGAACATACTGGCTCTCTTTGCAGTGTTGAAGCTAGGGATAACACTGTGCTATTCGATTCAAAGCAGTATTCGCACAACCCTAATTTTTTTCTAATCAATAAGCACTCGGTGTAATCTTATGAGTCAGCAAAAAACACGTTGCCTTGGCAACAGGTCGATCTAGGGCAGATTGGTCAGGTACAGCAATTTGGAGAGGGTTCAAAGTGGGTGTCCTGAAGAGGTGGAAGCAAAAATGTAACTGGAAGAGTGTGGCCCTCCAAGATTACTTGTATATTTTCTACATAAGGCAGACAATACTTATATTTGAAGCAAAGCAGTGTTGGGTAAAGTACATATAAAAAGTACTTGACGTTAAGTACAAAGTAAATGATAGGTTATGTACTTCAAGTAAAGTAGTAAGGACACTGGGCACAATTTACTTGAAGTAAAGTACTATAAGTACAATGTACTTTCAAAGTAAAGTACAAGTACTTTCTAACAATTTTTTATCATGCCATATCATTCCCCTGTACAGTGTATATTTCAAAACTGTTATGCATTGTCTCAGGGGTAATCGGGGGTGCATCAGTTATTTCCGGAAATAGTAGCAAGTATTGTATAAAGTCAATTATACACCCTTACACAAAATTTGATAACCATACGCCAAATAGTTACGTTGATATAAAATATTTCCAGCACATTGTGAGGCAATAACAAAGTAAAGGAGTTCAATGTTTGAATGCATTTTTCTCAGTTCCACTTTTTGCTGCAAATTTCATACGAAGGAATCTTTTGTTTGAAGGTAAAAGTATTCTGATAACGCAATCAAGATGTTTCTGAGCTGAAATTTACTAGGGAGTCAGGCTATCTACTTCATTTTGTTTTAAGTTGAACTCCTCATTGAGAAAAACTGTTTTCATAAATTGACGTAGGACAGATATGCATCTCATATATTAAGGTAATAACTCTTCCTGAAATATTTACATTTGAGTTATAAAAGCTAGATAGCCCGAAGTCCCACATCTTCCACTTAATGAAGAGTGACACATCTTATGCAGGTATGTAAAGCTGTCCTAGAGAGTTTAAAGTTTGCACGGTATACCTACATCTGATGTTAAGTCTCCCCTGCAAATTTCATTCTGATCACTTGAATAGTTCAGAAGTTCAATCTCTAGCCCCCCCTTAAAGGGGCCCTGCAATCATACTTAAGCGTCTACCTTTTTTGCTGTTTCCACGTCTCTTAGGGTTCGGGCAAGCCAGCGGGCACGGAGAGAGTAACTAAATATCAGTGCGTCATATTTTAACCGGACAATGCGGAAACCTCCTTCACTGACGAGGGCGACCCGCGGTACCGAAAGCGCGCGATATGTGATCTCTTTGGTCCTGGGCTTACGACTGGTCAGAGCCGCTAAAAGCTTCTTTTTAGTCGAAATACAAAATATAAGTCGCACGAACCGTTTCAATTATTTATAAAAGTAGTTTTTGTTCAGTATTTTAGATCAGAAAAGAAACAAATGCAGTTTATAAAGTACGGAAACAAGAAATGACCTGTCGACATACCCGCCACCAAGTGGCGGAAAAGGTGGCGCATATTAGAAAGGAGTAGTGGGATCAGGTACCGATAGGGAAAGGTCCCCGATGTACGCGGCAGCGCTGCGGTCGTAGGGACTGGAGGATCCGACCGGCTCGAGCGTTCAAAGGCCTTCGGCGAGTAGCTTCGTGCTGCCATATCATTTCGCGGTATGGCAGCACGAAGTGGCTCCCATTCTGACCTGATCTTTACCCATTGTTTGCTGTCGTTTGTGGCCAATGAAGTGGCATGCCAGATTAGTGTTTAATCGCGCAGCAAATGTAATGAGAGCCGCTCTGGCTGCCTACTGCATACAGGCTATCCAGAACATGCTTTAGTGGCGCCCTCTCGCACCGTCGACACGGAGTGCGGCAGCCCGTGAGCGCTCGCTAACTCACTAGTTCATGTTCATGGCCACTCAAGCAACCAAGGACGTCATGAAGGAGGTTATTTTTTGCTTGTTTTTGTAATTTTAATTTGCCTATAACTTTTAAAATAAAGTGAAATTCGAGAAAAGAAAAGTTTTATTAAGTTACTACGTTCAGTGCGCTCAGGTTTGGTGCAAATTAAAAATTAGTAAAAAAGTAATTGCAGGGCCCCTTTAAAGTCGAGAGGTGTACTTTCCTCAGAAAGTACCAGAAAAAATACTTTTAAGTAAGGTACATCTACATACTCGGAGAATGTACTTCCAGTAAAGTACAAGTTTTTGAAACCTACTTGAAGTAGTACTTTACGAGGGACGTTCATGAAGTTCATATTATTGTCACAAAGGAATAGAGATTCAGCAATGAAACTCGAGTAAGAGTTAACACTTTCTTTGCTTGTTCGCCACCAAATGTTACCCACTTTTTCCAGCGATGCACCTTATGCCGGAAGTTATTGTTATAGAACTCCTCGTTTTGAGTGTTCAGGAATCGCTCCATTTCAGCAATCCCTTGTTTGCTGTCCTTGAAATGCTTTCCTCTTATTTGACCACTCTGGAAGTGTCTGCGCCATTTAACCAAAGTGTCATAAACTGGGGCGTTGTCCCCGAACAACGCTCCCAGTGGAGTGAATATCCTTGGCATTGGTTCCCTTCAAATGCAAAAAAACGGATCACTGCGTGTGCTTGGCACTGACAAGCGGTGCCATTTTTGTTTCGACTCCCTAGCGGCGTTCCGAGCTACTATAGCATGCAATGTTTATACTGTGCGGAAACTAGAGGGACGCTTGCTCATGTTAATGCCTGTTTTGTTCCAATTTTTTAAAATTTTTTGTGCCTATAATACAAACTTTATGAACGCCCCTGATAAGTACAATGTGTACTTCCCAACACTTGAGCAATGGGCTTGTGTATGGGCCACTGTGGAGTAGTTTTGTACAATGCCTGTTTGCCTTCTGTACTTGCTCTCACCTCGAGAATTGGTAAAAAGTTTGTTCGGCTCCTTGCAGTGCATTACTAATTTCCCCCTTATGTGAATGAAAATACCTGTAGTGTACAGTACCTAGATCTCTTAAAACCAAAGCTCGTAAAAACTCCACACAATGTATGTTCAAAAATATTTTTTTTTAAGTGACAATGGGTTTAGTTTTATATTGAAAAGTATATGTTTACACATACATTGCTGAATTCTGCTGATGTAGACTTGTTTGCTTCCACCACTACTTTCATTTTGTGGGGGATTTAGTTTATTTATTTCAGTATTTTCTGCTATTGGTTTGCTTGGGCTGAGACCCGGTTAGTTGTTGTGGCCTTTGCGTGGTAACAAATGTTCTTTTTTTTTTTTTTTCTTTCCAGCGGTTCTTTTGTCTTGAAAAAGGGATCTTAACATATGCAAAGTCTTCAACTGATGTAAGTTTTTCCAAATTTTAAATTCTCACTCCAATTCTTATCAAACCCGAGAAGATTTATTAGTGATTTTTCTTAATTTCCTTTCAGATGGCAAAAGGAAAAAATCATGGCTCCGTCGATCTCGGATTGTCCGTCATTTCCACGAAAGGCAAAGGCAGGCGAGTCGATATTGATGCTGAAGAGTTCATCTATCATCTAAAGGTAATGCTTACCTTCTATATTGTTTTTTTTTGGGAGGGAAGGGAAGGGAAGGGAAGGGAAGGGAAGGGAAGGGAAGGGAGGGGAGGGGAGGGAGGGAGGGAGGAATCATGATTGTCTTGAAATTTTTGAAAGTTTAGGAAACAAGCAGTTTCTGGTGTGTGTGTTCTGTGCCAATTTACACAACTGAAAGGAACAGCTCTTCTTCCATAAGCCTATTTTAATAGTGTCGGTGATGCTACTACTTAAGACAGTCACTTCAAAACTAAAAAATTTAATTTCCGGTAAGTAGTGGCTAGTGACCAGGGTTTCATTCTTTTGGTGTGTATGTTTTCAAAGAATAGTTAAATGTGTTTCTTCATTTCTATATTTCCTTAAATTCTGTACTTTCCAGTGCATATTTTTCATTTCCTAACAAGAACATAGTATTTATGGGGCTTTTCTCCCGGAGAAAATCAGTGTTTAAGGGCAGGGAAAAAAATAAAATAAAATAATTGGTCATGCTTTTTGGGGGGAGGGGGGGGGAGTTTACTCTTTGAAATCCCTGTTCAGTGGACGAGGCGTGACTGGCAGAGGAAACTGTGGTTATGTTTTGGCTAAGACAAGCCTCTCTGTCATACTCAAAATAATGATAGTAAAAAAAAAATGTTTCTACTTTGACATGCGAAATGGTACTTTAAGTAACATTTCTGCCCGAAATGATAGCCATCATTCACAGACAAGTACTGCAACTTAAGTTATCTTTTCAGTTTATATACTAGGTCACATGTGCTTGCTAGGCGACATCAGGAGTGCAATGATTAAGTGATTCTGTCCACACAATGGTAAGAAGTTGAAGGGAAAGGGTGAGAATAAATTAACAAACTTGTTGAAAGGCCAGAGCTTAGTCCTCAGTCCTTTCATCGTCTTGCTAGGTTCTAAGCATGTTACATCGGCACCTGCTTCCTCGTGTTTTCACATTCTGTTGAATAGTGGCGGTCTTTCTGCACTAGAAGCAACCTTGTCTCTCCTCTTTGGTGGCCAGGTTAAAAACCAAGCTCAGTTCCAGCAGTGGGTGCCCCAGCTGCGCCATCATCGCCTCTATCGGCAGCACGAGATTGCCTTCGGTAGCCGCGAGGCCCCCAAGATGACCTCTCCTGCTGTGGAAGACACCAGTACAGTGCCAACCCCGGGAGGTAATGGCTATGGCTCTTCCTCAGCTGCTTGCCTCGATGCCTCCTTGCCCAAGTGTAGCTGCTTCTCCAAAGAGAGGCCCCCGTGCCGCCAACACCACTGCTACCGCGAGCTCACGCCCAATGCCCTGTCTTGTATCGCGGCAAGTTGGACGGGTGCTTTTAGGAGAGACCTTGATGCTGCTCCGGTCGGTGTTCGAAGAAGCAATGCTTGGGAATTTCACTTGGAGGAACTGGGGTTGTCGGATGCCTGCCATCTGACAAGTGTAGACCTCGAGCACTGCAGTGAGGTGCGGAGGAATGGAGAACTGGTGACAGACAGGTTGGGGAATGAGCCCACGAATGAGACAAGCTTAGAAAGTTATGGAAGCACTATGGGTACTTTCTCTATAAAGCACCCCGTGGATCGGACGGTCGAAAAGCTTGGTTCCTTGTCGCGCATCAGAAGAGAGCTGGTTGGAGAGTGCGGGGAATTCTTCTGTTCTTTTGGCCCAGATGATAGGTCTGTGTCATTTAATCCTGAGAATAAGTGCGTGGATGGAACAAATGGATCCTCAAATGTGGAATGCCTTTTCATAGAGGAAGCAGCGGAAGGAGCCTTGAATTTGCTTAAATGTTCTAATGGTCATGCATGCATTGATGAAGGCTTCAGGGGAAAGGAAATTCACAAAAAGGACAGTATTATCTTTGTACCAAATTCCAGCATCAGCTCGTCTACACAACAGAAGCCTGCTTCTGATGTCACTTGTAAATCGAAAAGGGGAGATGTGTTGCCTTGTTCACAGGTTAGTGCTAAAATTAAAGTCATTGGCAACTCTCCCTTACACTTCATTCTAAAAGGGCAAAGGCAATTGAGTAATTTATGCTGGGAAAATATTGAGCGTAATGTTGAACCTTCCTTTTATGCCGAAGAAACTGAAACGGCTGATGATGAGTCCCAAGATAACATGCTATTGAAATTCAAAAGTCTTTCGGCTTCGTTTTGGGCTCATCAACCACCTCTTGGGTACAGTTCTTTCTCCAACGATGACCATGCAAGTGCATCATCTTATGCAGCACCCAAAATCCTGAATACATCTGTCACAAACGATGCTATGCGAAGCACGACTTCAAAAGACGGTACCTCTGGGCTGGTGTTGCTCAGAAGTTCTTCTCTTAACTTTAGAAGCACAAAATCTTGTGATATGGAGTGGTTTTGCTTTGATAATCTTGATGCAGTTGGAAGGAGCAGTCAGTGCTTTCTGCCTGTAAATACACTTCCAGAAAGCTATAGTGAACAGATTCATGGTGCGTCTCTTTCAGACTTTGAAAAGTTGACATGTGGTTTTTACAAACCGCCAGCGCGATCAGGATTCAGTCGAGGTGGCCCTTCATTAAACCAACTTTATGAGGAACCTTGTGCAAAGCCAGCAAACTTTTCCCTAGGTTGGCTTTGGAGCACTATTGAACCAAGCACTGATCTCGTGAATGCTGTCAAATCTTCATTAGCTGTTGAATCTGCCTCTGGTGCAGTGTGCCTGGAGGTTCCTAGCAAAAGTCCTAACTTGTTCAAAAGGACATCTGTTAATCAGCTTTCTGAAGATGTCTTACCAGCAGTCTCTGACGGTCCTGTCTGAAGAAGAAGCCTTAAAGCCTACTGAGAGCAGCCCAGATACCTCCTTGTTTTCAAATTCTGATGGTAGTTTTTTGTTTAAGGAGTCTAGGCATGTGTCACGATTGTGTGGTACCTATAAAAGTCAGTTCCGTTATTCTGAGGGCTGTTGAGTGTTAACATATCAACTACAGTGCTCGGAATTTCAGCCTGTAGCCTGGGTGCTGTCGATGGAGCAATGTCTCCTACTCGGAATGCATTGGAAGTGTGAATTCCAGAACCATTGCATTTCATGTTAAGGGTATATTACGAAGAAACAAGGAGAGGTCTTAAATCATTCAAAGTTTCTAAACAGAAGTGAGTTTTGAAATAAAAAAAGGACCTGCAGAGTTGTGTCCTATTTCAAAATAATCTACAATAAATAAGAGTGTTTCACAATATAGTGGTAATGGACTGTTTTGAACAATTTCTGAGTGGAAATAACTTAAAAAATTAATTCACAATCACACTAATATTGCATCTTACCTAGAACATATCAGGCTTTGTCTTGTTGCTGTGTTGTACTGAGGCATGCAAGTTTCCTTGCCTTTTACATCTAATTCCATGGGACTTTTGATTGTTTTCAAGCCTAATGTAGCATGACTTGCCAAAGCCGCCTTTTAAGTTCGGCACTTGGTTAAGCTGCTTTTTTATGCAGGCTTCAAATAGATCAGAGAATAATTTGCGAGGTTCTTTTAGGGGTGTTTCAGCCAACTAGGCTGATAAGTTGAACAGTCTAACCAAGTTTGAAGTGTAAATTTTTGCCAATAAAGTGCACTGCAAACAGGCATTACTTTATGACTGCATCTTGTGTTTTTATGCTTTTTCATTTGGTTTTTGACACCTGTAAATAGTTGTAAACTACTAAACTTTTTGTTTATCTCCTTAATTATCAAGTTGCATTCATTCTAGCATATGATATGAGACTTTTTTTCCAGATATTTCCAACGTAAGTGTTTTAAAGTAGGAACTTGTAGCCAGAGTTTCAAGTGCTTATGTGATATTCTATTTCAGGTCTCTTGTGATTTCAATGTAATGTAAACCAGTCAAACATGTTTGAACTGCTACTCGTACGCGAGTGATAGTATTTATCATGCTCAGCAAAGATGAACCCGAGCAAACACATGTCCAAAGTAGGGGAATATGTAGGGGGGCATGTAGGCCATGTTGTCTTTTGATGTCTTGTACATTTCTAGCAGATGACAGGGCATGAAATGGGGAGCATCTTTTTTTTTGCCATCCTGCCAGCCTGTGCATGCTGAATTCGGTGGTGTGTATACAAACAAACCCTCACATGACTTTGAAACCCATTGTTCTTGTGCCAGGGATAGAGCAGATGAAGCAGGTGCAGCCTGTACCTTTTCTCCCTTCAGATTGTTATGCAAATTGATGATATTCACTCTCCGTGCAGACAACAAGTTGTTTGCTTCTAGATAAAATTGGTCATTCAATCTAAGCTATATTCCGTTGCAACTCAAGAAGGTAGGGCAAAGGAAAGGACAGCCGGGGAGGAAAAAGCAGGCGGAATGCTGGAGCGAGGAGGAAGTTTCCCCCTTCACTTCTTCTTGAGTTGCAATGGATTATAGTTGCCGTAAAATACCGGGCAAGCACCCACTCAAAATTTAGAAATAATGGCGAGAGAATAAGGGATGGGTGCTTGTCCGGTCATCAATTTTAGATATAAATGTACTGCGCATATTTCCTCAGATCTTACAAATTTGGGAATGGGCGCTTAATGTGGAATGGGCGAATGCACGGTATGCTATGGTAGCTAATTATGCTAGCTAATTAGGCACGGTGCTATGGCCTTCCAGCACTTATCATCCAGGCAAAAAATGCTGACTCGCTGGACTGTGGGTGGTCTCATATTCCGTGGAAGAGAGCTACTGCGCATGCTCAGGACATGTTCCACAGCCCAGGAGACAAAGATGGCAACTCCCAGAAGGCGATTATTGCGAAGGTCTAGCACACAGGATTTTGATGGAACCCTCTCTTTTTATGAAACAGTTCACATCACTTCCCATGGACATCTTTTATGAAAATATGTTGTGGTCCACAATGAGAGTGCCAGTGTAGGCACTTTTGTTTATTGCTGTTTGCACATGTGCATCATTGTTTTGTAGCATGTTCACTGATAAAACAAGCTGTCGAGGGCTTATGCGAGCATTAGGGCTCCATTGATGGGATTCTTCCAAATATGATCTGTGATACAAAAGGGCAAGAAGTAATTTTGAATTCTTGCTGTGTCATAGCCTTAGAGCAAGGTATTTTTTATTTGCTCTGTTGTAGAAAAACAATTTCAAAACAAAGTGTTTTAGGTTCCTGATGATTGTTGTCAAGTTATAATTAGCATTAAAACCTCTGTTATTTGCATTATTTGTGCAGGTATGGAACCCAGTGGCTTGCCATCGGCTATAATGGGGGAGAATTCTCGGCTAATACGAAGTCCTCTCATCCAGCAACAGAACCGTGTAGCTGCTTGGATTTTAGATTCTACGGCCATTGACCATGGAAACAAAGGTGGTTTCATTGGATTTGGGATCTTTGGGTTTGGAATAACCTCATGCACCAATTTGCTCGACAGATGCATCCATGCTGCAAGAGAAGATATTCCAACTGGCAAATCTGCTTCAGCTAATCGAAAATAGTCCAAGTGGCATCTCTTCAAATTACTTGGAGGTACTGGCCCAGTGCAAATGTTTTGGGGTTGCCCTTTTGTTTATTTAATGAATGCTTGCTCATCTTTGTCAGTTGCTATATTAGTTTTTCTGTTCTCAATTCTTATATACTGTCGCTGGATGGTAACAGAGAGAGTCTTAACTTGCATCTTGGGGTACAGGATTAAGTTTGGAAGCACAGTCTTCCTTCTTTTGACTAGTTTATACTGTATGCTTTTTGCATACAGCAGCGATGGGAGCTGTGTAACGGGCATTAGTGATGAACAAGGAAACGGAAGTACTATACGCACATGTCCTTTATTACGGAAACAGTGGACTGGGCATTCTTTTGTTGACTTTGGAAAGGTGGCACCACTGAGGCTCCGTTTCATAAACTCTTGGCGATTATACAAGGTTTTTGACAAATTTAGTCTTGTTATTTATTTTTTATTTAATTTATTACTTACATTTTGCCTTGGGGGCATTATTGTAGGGGTGTAACTTACATGGAAACACAACAAATACACGAATGGAAATGAAAAAATATCAATACATGCTGACATTGCTACAAATACTACAATGCACAATAACAACAAAAAAAGAACAACAAGAAAACACCACTTGGAACACAACATACACATATCCACTATAAGCTGCTAACATCAGCACAGTGCAAAACAATACATTAGTCATGGTTCATTCCCGTGTGAGTAACGACTCAAAAGACAATCAAAAGTTTCATCTGAAGCCGAAACAACAGCTTCGGGGAGCCTATTCCACTGATTTATTGTTCGTGGGAAAAACGGCGTTTGAACAACAGATGTGCGGCATGCTATTTCTTGTATTTTTTTTTAGTGTGGTCTAATCTCTGGGAAACGGCAAGATTCATAGCTTTCATGTTTAAATTGAGCAGAGAAATACACACTTGCTAACTTGTTATTGTACCCTTTGAGTATGTCGTGCCATGGTCCCCATCATTGCCATACATCACTGCACATTAGGAGGTAATTTGTTTTCTGCTTTGTGCTTTTGCAGTGGAATTGCAGTACTCTGGGGGGAAGGCAGCATGTTTTCTCTTACCTGGGGCCACAGTGGGGAAGCTTTTAGTCGGTGACAGGTTAAGAGTTTAGGGGAAGTTCCATCTAGCTCTTCCCACTTCTGCAGTGCAAACGCTGGAGAGGAGGCGACCTCCACCCAAGTGCTCGTTCCCAGGCACGGTTGCAGCAAGAATGCAGCGATGGGCGATCATCCTGTTAAAGTCCGACTTTGACATAAAGTATGTGTCGACTGACAAGAACGTTGTTGCGGACATGCTGTCAAGACTCCCAATGACTGACAAGAGCGCTACAGAATTGGAAACCACACGAGTAGAAAATATTGAAATTCTCCATCTACGAAAAATTTCAAGCACTCCCATTGACACATAAGAAGGTCAGCAGAGAGACACAAAGGGACACTGTGTTGTCTAAGGTATTAAGACTCGCCATGGAAGAATGGTTGGAAGATGTAAATGCCGAGGACCTCAAGCCTTACTTTCCTTCGCAGAACGGAACTCGCCATGGAGCTCGACTGCTTAATGTGGGGAACATGTGTCGTCACACCCTCTAGGTACCAAAAGCATGTTTTGAACGTCTTGCTTCAAGGTCATGCGGGGATGACAAAGATGAAGGGACTGTCACGACACTACGTCTGGTGGCCGTTTCTGGATCATGACATTGAAACAATGGTCCGGAGTTGCCATCCATGCAAGGAAGTGAGCAACGAGGCAGCCACAGTTCCCTACACCCTTGGAAATACCCCAAAAAGAACTGGCAATGCCTGCTTGCAGACTTCGCAGGACCCTTTCAGGGAAGAAATTTCTTGTTGATCATCGATGCACACTCGAAAGAGGCAGTGTCCATTAGCTCAGCGACTTCGGCAGCCTCCATAAGAGTGTTTTCAACTCTCTCTGCAAAATATAGACTGGCAGAAAAGATTGTGACAGACAATGGCCCATAATTCCGATAAGATAATTCCAGGATTTTATGACAAAAACAGTGCATTTTTACCCCCCCCCCCCCCCCCCCCCCCCCAATCGCCCTGCAACGAACGGTGTAGCAAATAACTTTTGGGGGATTATTAAAGAAGTCTGTCAACACAAGCTTGAAGTTGGGACTGACAATGGAAGAGGCCTGACATAACTTCCTTGGTAGCATAATGGACGACCCCGCACATGACAACTGGCTCAACATCCGCCAAAATGACGACGGGAGAAGAATTTTGCACAAGGTTCGACCTTCTCAGACCATCAGTAATCGATCTAGTGCGATCGGAACAGGCAAAGCAGCACACCTCGTGCAACTTAAAGAACGACACCTACATCAGAACGACCGGGTCTGGGCTAGAGACTACAGGAATGGCAAGAAGTGGTCTAAAGGCATCGTCGTGCGAGTTTTAAGGAACTGAACGTACGAGGTTCTCACAAACAACAGGAATACCTAAAAACGGCACATTGAACAGCCGAGACATGTACCCTAGGGTGGAAGAGGGACTATATAAATTAAAACGATAGTCTCAAGTGCGCAAAAACATAAAGTTCGCCCCTTCTTCCAGCATCAGTCGGTGAAATGGTTCATCGTCTCAGATTTCCAATGACAACTCTCCAACCTCGATTCAAGAATCCTGCAACACCGGAAGCAGGCACTCCAAACTCGCCCGCTTTACAACTTAAGGGCACACATGACAACACAAGTGGCAGCCCTCCTCTTAGAAAATCAGCATGGATGCGCCAGTCACCTATGCTACTAGGCCCTTGAAAACGCAAGGTTTTTTTTTAAGGGGAAGATATTGCTCTGTATTACGTGCTTGTCTGCCGTGTATGGTGAACATTGCCGCATATGATGTGGAGACACCGGGAGGGGAAAGCTGAGTTGTGAGCCACGGAGAAGCACAATGCCTGGATGCCACAGTCCAGGCGTGGTCCGCAGCAGACCTGACGAGACCAGACAAGATGCTTCTGGTAACATGAGCCGAGTGTAACCTAAACAGTTGAGTAAATATAACCTCGCATTATCCTAAATTAACTGGTACATCTCAAGGAGGGAAGGGCGTCCCCTGAACTCTTACCCTGTCACGACTATAGGTCATATTTCTAGGTAGCTGTTGACAGTCTGAAGTTTTCAATAGCCCCCGGGTGTGTTTTTGCACCACTCTGGTGTGACTTAACGAATGTTTGGAAATTAATTAGGACACGTGCATGTGAAGCTGCTATCTTTACACGTGCCTAGTTTGTGCAAAGTTAGTAGCTCATTTGGTAATGTAAAGCGGGTGTGTCCAGATTCCCGAGATGGAGCATGGGACAGTCGGAGGAGTTCAGAAGAAAGACCGCAAAAGGTTCCACCTGAAGCGTATCCGGAGGGGCAAAAAGGAAGCCGAGCCTGGGTCCAGCTCCCAGGGCAAGGCGGGCAGCGGTGGCAAAGCCCCGCTTCAAGTAGAAATCACAGTGTCGCAGGAGGCCGCGGCAGCCCACGACATTTCGGCCAGCATGGACAACCTGGCTGATGTGAACCGTGGGGACAGTAAATCGGTGGGGGCACCTTTGGTTTCACTTTTAGGACTTAAAAGGAGCAGTAAAATTACACTCAATTTAAGGGTGCTGTCTAATACGAGTTGTAAAACTTTGAATTGAGTAGTGCTGCACCATTCACAGCTCCGGTGCAAAGGTAGGCCACATCATCTGCACTCTCACTTTGCACCGTAATAACTACTAATTGGCCAGAATCATTCAATTCAAATTTGGAATTGAGTTCAACGCACTAAAGAATGCAGCGAGCCTGTTGACCTGAGCTCCATTATACAACAATAAAAAAATTGTGTTAGACAAGATGAGAGGGAAAGGCCTCCTCACAATGCATGTATGTAGTAGCATGCCAGAGATACTCTTGTAAGCTATGTTCTCGGTATTCATTTAAAGGCATACTGCAACGAAATTCTAGCACCTATTTTATTGTCTAAATGTCAATCATGTTCTGGTCACACCCTGGAGACACCAATTTTTTGCTCGAAAAGACTCCAAAACATTATTTAAAAGGAATAAACTGAATGTCGTTACGTCACTACAGTCTAAGCTCATTGCAACAGACCTGGTCAAAACAGACATTTGGATATAACATACCGATTTGTGAAGTTGGGTTGGTTTTCCTTTATATACCATTGACTCGACTTCATATCTGCATACAACATACTCCTTTTACAACAGACCGAAATCTTGGTCAAAAACAAGGTCTCTCATAACGAGCTTAGACTGTATGCACTTGAGAGCAGCGCCGCTCAAGTGCATACACAAGCTGCGTGCGCGTGAGTCCTGTCGAACCAGAGTTCCCTTCTCTCCCGGCCCAGGGAGGGGCAACCAAAAACGAACAGGTTGTAATGCCTTGACGACGTCAAGTGACAGAGCTCATAACCACGCCAGCCCCCAAGAAGCTTTGCATGTTCTGACCAAGTGACGTCTAGTCTGGTCCAGCTTCTGTGATGCATCAAGCTCTTCGATGGCCAATCTTCGAGCACTCACTGGAATCGGTCCTTTGGAACAAAAAATGTGGTCAACTGTTCAAAATACAATGTGCGATTGTGATTGGCATATTGAGTTGATCATGTCTAACTTAATTTTGAACGTGAGAGGTATATTTTAAGTTTCGATTCAATATCCCTTTAATTTGCAAAACTATACTCCGTTTCACGATAACTTGGTGAACTGTGGATTTTAGGGCCCCGCGACCCAATAAGAGCATTGGAGCGAGGCACGTGACCCGACTTCACGGGAGCATTTGTGTCACCACGCCAAATGTGAGGCGCGAGGAACTTGCCGTCGCCTGCTAGCCAAGAGTCGTCTACTTTGAAAACAACCAACTTTGGATGAAAGTTCACAGCTGCAACATATCCGTCCGCTAGAATAGCGAGCACTTTGGGAACAGTACATGAGGCAACCATACGCTCAATTCAGCTGCGAATCTGTGACGGGTGCTAATGCCAGGGCGCAGTGCGATGTTTTGAGCGGAAACTGCCGATTACACAACTGCGATCCCCAACGGCCATGGCGCTGCAAGACGAAAAAAATTTAGTGAATACGGATGTGGCATCACACTTTTTTGGTTTAAATATAATTGAAACTCATAACTTTTTGTTTTGTGATTAATATTCTTTATATTCTTCATATCTTCTCGTTATAGATGGAATCGTGCAAGTTCAATTGCCGTTAAAAAAAAGAAGAGGCCTAGAACTATTTTTTGCCGCAGAGGGCTCTGTTGCTGTGGCGGTAACGTTTTCACGTGCCTTGCTCCAGCGCCCTTATTGGATCGCGGGGGCCACAGCCTCCACAGTTCGCCAAGTTATCGTAAACGGAGTATAGCGTGTGCATGGACAGACAGGCTTTATCTAGGGCATTGAGAAGGCCAGCCTAAGACTTGTGTTGTAACTTAAAATAACCTGAATTTCATGCATACTTCTTTGATTAATACTTGTAGTTGGATTTTATTGCTATCAACATCTGGCCTCTGTTTGCAACAAACAGAGGACAAGCAAGGTATTCATAGTGAGATGAAAGTTCAGAATGTGACAGATGCTCTGCCCATAGCACGTGCTTGTCGCCTTTCATCACACTTTGACGGCGTTCTCATGAGGCCTCGAAGTGTTACCGAAGGCGGAAAGCTCATGCTGCAGGTGGATCTTTTGGCACATGCTTAATCTGTATCCGACTATAGTCCGCTGCAGACTGTCTACGCCTTATTTATGTATGTATCTCACACATACAATATCTGTTCCTGTTGAAGGCTGACAATTCATGGTAGTGGGTCTTCGGTCTGTTCCCAGCAGGACGGCTCTGCATCCCTATCAATTCGTGACATGGGGTACCTGAGCTGCTCTCACCCGTCGCTGGCGATGGACAGCACGCTAACAGGGCAGGTGTCGGACACAACCTCTTTGGTCTCGTACTGTTCATACGATTCGACGGGTGTCTTCCGGCACATGGAACAGTTCCTCTCACTTGCGAAAGAAGGTGAGGTGTGCAGGCTTGCCTTGGTGCAACTTGTTTGCGACTCTATCACCCGCTGACTTCAGCGTTCCTCGTGATGGTGGTCTGCTTCTAGTGCATACAGGACTTCGGACCATGCTACGGGGTCTACAAACTGAGCGCGAGCGCCTTAAGCAGCACATTGAGTCGGAGAACCTTCCTGGTGGTGGCGGAAATGCTGCCCTGGTTGCAAATCTAAAAAATGCACTGTCTCAGGTGAGCTTTTGTGTATGGTTTTTCACATACGTTAAGTGTGTATCTTTTCAAAGCGTGCTTCAATGTGGGCCTACCTTCCGCTTGTAGAACTAAGATTCTGTGATGGTATTTGGAGTGTCAGGTGCTGGGTTTTGACTATCGCTCAAAGCTCTAGTTGCTTTGCGATGTACAACTACAGTATAGCTTTTTATCTCCCTTGCTCTTCTTTCACTGTTTCGCCCGAGTGTGAGCATGCAGTCATGCCCGAATGTACCCTTGCTGTACATGTTTTCAGCATCCTGGTAACCTGAAGACTAACATGAGTAGCCCACTTACAAAGGACATGTTGCACTTATCATAGTAATGTTGCACTGCACTGACATGCGTCTGGAATATCATTCTTGCACCTTCTTTGTGACTTGACTCCTCCCGGTTATTCCGTACGTGACAACTGAGTACCTTGAGACTCAAGTGCAGGTTTTCCTAAACTGTTCTCTTCCCTTTCCTAATCTGTTCTCGTCAGCCATGTGAAGTTGTAAAGAAACCAGTAGTTAGAACCCAGTTGTAACAAGCAACTGGATTTTAATATAAAAAAAATTAATTTTTGGTTAAAAAAAAAAGCTAACAGGTGTGCTTTTGCAGTAAGCTGGGGAATATAGTCTCATGTGAAAGGTTACAATAGGCAGAGCTGGGCCAGTTAGTATGAATCTACTTAAGGGGATACGCTCCCCGAAACAACTTTTTTTTTATTTCTTTAACTAGAGACATAAAAATTCAGCCCTTGGTATAGTTTTTCATGCGGATTTCAAATATGTATTTAGTTTTCACCTAGTTACTATAGTTATCGAGTTATGAAATACACAATGCAAAAAAAGAGCACTTTTTCCGGAAAGGTTTTGATATACTAAATTTGCAAGAAAAGTATCGTGCTGTATCTTATTTGGCCCTTCAGAGGTTGCAGAGTGCTGATATCTAGCCACACCTTGCACAAAAATACTAGAACTATGCAAAAAAAAGTTTGTGCTCTGTACCTAATTATTTTCTGTCTACCTTGAAACAATAAATAAGAAGTTTCATAACTAATGGTGATAGAAAATTCAGTTTCAATTAGATATCAGCCCTCTACATGTCTTGAAGAACATGTGTATCAAATTTGGTTACTATAGGTTAACTATAAGTTCACAAAAGGCTGCCCGGAAAACGTGAAATTTTCAAAAAACGTGAAAATGAGAAAAACAAGTTTGAAAGTTTGTGAAGTTTCTATTCATTGAAATGCCACTCTATTTGCATAAAATCTGGCCACAATGGCAAAATGCACTGGCAAGTTTCTAAAACCCTCCAGCACAATAACTTTGTCCCTCCTGGCTCTTGCGGGTTGTTTCCTCACTCCGGGCCCTCTTCACTGTGCTGCGACGATGTGCCCTGGCTTCCACTATTTGCTTGGTGTTAATTTTCTTGATGCGCATTTGATCGCAATGGTCACCATGCATGACCAAATCTTCAGAAGGAAGTACTCCAATCTCTTCCAGCACTCTTTCAAAGCCTGTATGGCCTTTGTTGTACCAAAGTACAGCAATCGCTGTGGCCGTCTCCACAGTAGTCCTGGAGGCGAACTTGGTTTTCGGGCACAGCAGCCATATTTTACTATTGAGCGGAGGAGACGGCTGCCGCCGCATGCGAAATGGCTGGTGGCACGTTACTTTCGCGGCAAAAGGACGCAAACCACACAAATTTTCGCGAATTTTGCCCGGTTTTCACGTCACCACTGCTCACTTGGACGCATTTTTAGATATTTTCTTTTGCGATTTTCAGCTTGATATTTTCAGAAATGAAAGGTTATAGTCCAAGGTCGGCAATGCAACAAAAAAGAAAAAGTGAAATTTTTTCAGAAAATTGCGACTTTTCGACCCACGTCTCCCCTTAAAATGAAAGAACAAAATTTGTGTGCCTTTAGCAGCATATATGCATATTGCCATTAGGGGCTGTCTTATAAGGGTGGTGCTCCTCGTTCAGCTTTGGTGCAACGAAAAACTCAACTATTCCCAAATTTATTTATTTTTTCAAATGAAGTAAAGGTTGTGCATTTTTACAAGGTTATAATTGGGGTTCCGTGTTTTCAAAGTTTGTTTATCTTCTATTTTTTTTTTTTTTTCACATTAATTTTTGGTGTCAAGTTTTGGCTTTCGGCAAAAGGTCCGCATTTATGGGGGCTTAAGTTGAAGAAAATGGGACATGGACATGGGATCCCCCACCTCCAGGGAATATGTGCACGACTCGAATAATGAGAAGACGTTTGGGTACTTATAGAAGGAAACTGGACATGGGCACGGTTCCCCCAAGAAAGAAGCTGCCTCGCGGACAACTTGGAGGGGGCTGTGTTTCTGATCAACACAAAATAAAGCTGTAGAAAAAGATTTATTTTTGTGAAGATTTTGCTTTTCTTACAAAGACAGCTTCATTTTGGATTTTTTTTTTTTTTTGGTAAAACGGGTTTGGGGGTTAACTTTGAGCTTCATATCGGAGTTTTTTTTTTTTTTTTTTGACGGTTTTCTCTGAATTGTGTAAAACAGGTTCAACGGTTGATTTTCTGAGCTTATCGTTCTTTGCCAAAAACACGGAACCCCAGTGACAATGATGCGCTCACTATTTTTTGCCCTCCCCCTCCCGTCCCAAATGATGGAAGCTTACATACCTCTGTTCACCCTTAAACTGAGATTGCATGCAGCCAATGCAACAAGCATGAGAACTTGAGGTTGCTGCTTTGAAGCGTTCTTCCGCAGAACAAGCACTCGTGCTAGGAATGCACGGTTTAAAGCCAGGAGCGCAGGGTAGCTCGTGCTTGTCGCTTTGGCTGCAGTCTCAGCTTAAGGGGAGACACTGCCCAGAAAAAAAAATTTCTGCAAAAAAAGCCGATTTTGAAAAATAACATATTTACATCCACCAACATCTAGAGAGTATTCCCAAAAAGATTAATTAATTTTCACATCATAGTTAATTTTTTATAAATTATTTTCTGTCCACCAAAGCTGAAGAAAAGGTAGGGTTTGGAGTACCTTGAACGCATTTTTCTCCGTTCCACTTTTTGGTATAAACTCCATTTTAGTCAATCTATCGTTTGATAATTGCAAAACAGAGAAGGCTCATTCTTCCTTTTTCCTGACTGAAATTTAATAAGGAATGCGGCTATGGAACTTTTTTGTCACTTTACGGGTGTCTTTTATAAAAATTGTTGAAATTTTGACGAAGACAAAGCAGACCAAAAAGTTGACCAATTTTGCAGAAGAGAAAATTTATAGAAATAAATTACTTTTTAGAAAAAATGTTCCATAGCCGCACCCTCTAGACATTCTGCTACATATCTAGCAAATAAAAATCTTGAATATTGTGATAGTTTTCTGACGATAGATTAACTAAACAAGGTAGGCGTGTTGCTGATAGAAGCTACTCTAATTTCCTTCTCATTTAACCGACAGACCTGAAACTTTGTTATACACCCTCTAGCATGACCACCAGCCTACCATGTAAATTTCATTAATTTTAATACAAGAGTTCAAAAGTTGACCCCCCTAGGGGGTGTGCCCCCTTAAGGGTGAACAGAGTATAGAAAAAGGAAGCCGAACACTACTAACGCCATTGCAGAAATGATGGTGGCATGCACAAGAGCCAATCAAATGGCCTCGTGGCTGTGTGATGTGGTTATTTAATTGTGGTTTTCTGAAGATTCCTATAGTCTCATCAAGCCTGCCTGGCAAAAATGTTTTGTCATTTTACCAAATATTCAACCAAACTAAATATTCGGAATGTGCCAAAGAGGCAGTTTTCATATCGGGTATCCAGGCTATATTTTATGTGTATTTGAAATTTCTAATAGTCGCACACCAATACTATTATTTAGGATAATAATGGGACTAGCACTCTAGTTGCAACGAGGGGTGAAATGTGATTTAAAAAATCTGTTTTATTCCAGGCCCTCCAGCAAAACTATGACTTGCGTGCTTGCCTTCGAAGGATTCATGAAGATTCCGATCCATCTTCGTTTCCACCTCCTGAAAGTCCAGCGGGTGAAAGTTTCGAGGAGCCAACAGTGAGCTGAACGATTTTTTTAATTCAGCTGGACAAGTGTAATGTTTCTTTCTATTTTGAGCTTTGATTTGTTGATTAATCTGAAAAAAAAAAAAAGGCATAATTTGAGTCGGCTGAGAACGTGTAAACTGATTTGCTTGCCAATATTCTTTTTTAATGTGGTTGCACTAAGTTAACCTTCCTCTTGATTGCTTTTATTATTTTTATTTTTTTCACTTTGCTATTTTGTAGTTTTGGATAGGGGTGTCGCGAGCCGGCCGAGGTTCGAGTTCGACGAAGTTCGGCTTTTTCAAACTTTTAGTGGAAAGTTTGACGAAGCTTGTATTGAGGTTCGGCTCGTGTGCGCATGCGTGACAGGCTGGCCAGTTGGTTTTGGATTGGATGGTGATGGCTAAGGGATGAATTAAGGGCAGCGCTGATTGGTTATTTCAGTTAATACAGTACAAAAAGTTAATAACTTCTTCAGTGATTAGAATTGGCTACCTTTAATTGCGAATGTTCATAAAATAAAATAACACTTCGCATTAAAAAGAATTCTCCAAACCTAGACATGCTTGTATCCAGGTCTGGCCACACTGTCCACAAAGTCGACCCGGTCAAATCTGGTGAAAAGCTTGAAGGTTCGTCCCGAAAGTTTGACCTGAAAATCTGGTTTGACAAAAGTTCCCGACACCCCTAGTTTTGGGGCTTAGATGTTGAGATGTTATGGAGCAGGGGTGGCCAGACGGTCATATGCAAAGAGCTGTAAAAAAAGACCATTTTAAGTGAATCTACCTTGCACGGTGTATGTGTTTTGGCACAAGACTGCCAAAACGCAAGCTGTCTTTTATTTCGTAGCTCTCTCCTCTTCTGGTCTAGTGGAGGGGAGGGGGAAGGTACGCTTAAGAGGGAGCTGCTACCCGCACTTGGACCCGCAAAGAGCCGCAGTTGGCCAACCCTGTTATAGAGGCAGACAAACCTCTATAAAAGTCTGTTTCGGTTGGCTTTAGGGTGTATATACTGCTATGGTGAAGTTAACCCGAGCTGTTGCGAGTGTTATAAGAGGGTTGGCGAGCATCAGCATTTTACTTGGTGCAAAGTTGCACCTGAGATTGGTTGGGTGTTGAGAAGAGACAATGAACAACCCTGTTCTGCCGTCTTGATAACTACCCTAAAATCCCTTAAGGGATTTTAGGGTAGTTATCATGGGTCTTTGGAGTCAAAAACTTTCTAAAACTGCATTCTTTTGAAAATGACAATGGCTTTTCTTCTGAATCTACCAGGCTTACAATTTTGTGAATGAATATTTGAGCTATAAATCAATTTATAACATCCATGTGGGCTGAATGTGCATTGAAGTTGACTCTAAAACATTGTTTCCACAAAACAATTTTTGGACTCGTTGAAAATTTGCAAGAGGGATATCTCAGCATCTAGAGGAGATAGAAATAAAAACGTTCTTGAAATGTGAAGCTGAATGCGTGAAGCATACAATGTTGAGAGCAGATTTTTTAACGTAAGTCTAGTAAAGTTTCTATTTGATTTTTTTTATATTACTTGTTAGCCGTGCATTGAGCACTGAACTTCAATGTGTGGTAAAATCACTAATAATAAGTCTATCTTAAGAGTGCTCCCAACATTATATTCTCTACAGATTGTAGTATCTAGCCATGTGTTAAAAAGAATATTTTGTTGAGCAGATTTTTTTCTATCGTTTTTCCAAACAAAGGCAGGCAAGTTTTAATTATTTCAAGGACCATTCTACTGACTGGAAAAATTACCAGATATATGAAATCAGCACAAAAAGCTGAACAAACTTGTGCAGTTTCATTGGGTTTGGCGATAAAATGAAAAAGAAAGCTTTAAGACCAGTGTTCCCCCTTAAGGACGCCTGCCAACAATGAAGAGGTATAAGGTGAAAAACATGGGATGGGCTATCCGCCGATCGTGGACACGACAAATTTGCGTTTCACGATGCGATAAACACGCGGGAATTCGCTAGGCACTCCTGTGTCACAGTAAAAGATACTGCAGATTGCAAACACAGCAGATTTATTTTACACGGTGCGAAGGACACGTTGGAACCCGCCACAAGCTCTCGCGTCATGGGTACGGATACTGCCAGAGGTGGAACGGCTGCGCCATTTGCGCCATTTTGCGCCAGGCGCATTTGTCTGCGCCATCCTGCGCCATGTTGCGGAAACTGCGCCACAACCAATTCCTCGCGCCATTATGCACCAAATCGCAAAACGTGCGCCAAAAAAATTGTATTTTGTCTTCGTTTCGGTTTCTATCGACTCGGTTGGCAAGAATGAGCGCGTTTAGCTTGGTCGGCCTTGCAATCCTTTGTTCTGTTTATTCTCCCTGCGTATCTCGAGTCGGAAGCGTGCGAAAAAATTTGGGGGTCGGATTCCTAGCGCTACAGCACCTGCGACTGGATTGTTCTTCTTCAACTATCAGTGGTTCAGCAAGTCGGCAGAGGTGAGGTCTAGTCATTCAGCGTCAGATCGCCTGAGGCTCTGCGGCCGGGGATCTGGACGTTAGCCAGTTGAAAATAAATGAGCAAAATATCCCTTTTAGTACTTCATCGTTAGAAGTTGGAACTGCAATCCCGCAAGATAAATCGTGATTTGATAGAACTGAAACGCGGTCCAAACCGAAACCTTGCCGGCCAGCAGCTCTCACGCGAGCGGTAGATCTGCTCGGCATACTTTAACCTTGCTCCTGCTTATCGCTTCGAATACGATAACTCCGTTAATCGTTGTCTGCTGCTTCAATATTGAGTTGCACAATAAGATAAACTCGAAATTTGTTACCCTGTTCCTCCACGCAACTGCACGTCCGTTGCTTGCGCACGTCACGTGGTTCGCGCATATGATTACTATTTTGAGCACGTGTGGGTTGTGTGATAAGCAGTGCTTGTTTGCATTTTGAGCAGCTGTAAGCCACTCAGAAAATATCAAGGATACTATCTTCAGAAACATATGGTACTTGCCTTTTGGTTCTCATTAAGGCTCACAAAGTTTCAAGTTTTCGTATCTGTTACACTGTTATCCCATCTATCTAGGTCTCTAAACACTCATGTTCATCTGTGCTGCTAAGCACAATTGAAATTGCTCCCGTGCTTGTCTAAGACACAAGCTGAAGTGCAATGAAAGCTGATCTGAGCTGCTCCTAGCCTGCTCCAGAACGTAGTTTTAGCTGCTCGCAACCTGCTCCAAAACAGCTGCTTCAGCTGCTCCCGTGGCTGCTCCCAAGTATATTTCATGAGTTCCACCCCTGTACTGCAGATCACGGTCGCAGCGGATTTGTGTTTCACAGTTCAATAAACGTAACGACAACTCATATCTCACGGGAGCCGATATTGCATGTGCAAATAGCGGAAAAAAAAGGGATCAACTTGTGTGTCACGGGAATCAATATTGCGCACGCAGATTGTGTACAAAAACGCGTGAACCTGCTACAACTCTCTTGTCACACGTACCATTACCGCAGATATTTAGCCTGAAAAATGGGATGAGCGATCTATTGAGAGAGGGTGCCCTAAAGGGATTTCACGGTAGTCTCGGGCAGAAATGTGTGCAGAGCACGAGATAATTGTGATTGCCGGTTTTAGTTTCTTGCACAATTGGAAGGCACCCTACAGCTAATATACTAGCGTGGTAGAGGTTGTGTATGTTCAACGCAAGCTCATAGTTGGTCAAATTTTGTGTTTGGCGCTAATTAATATTAGTAAAATACATTCAATTGCCGATGCCTTGCTCATGCTAACTTTGTCTCACTCTACCAAGTGCATTTCAATTGGCTTGTGTGTGCCCCGCTTCATCAATATTACGTTGAGTGAGGCAGCACATATTCCAGTGCTTCCGTGTACAGTAGACTAAATAATTCAGGGAACGCGACGGAACAGTACACGACAAAACAGCATGCGACAAAAAAGCACAATCAAAACAGCACGGCGACATATCAAAATAGCACGCAACAAAACGCACAGCCTCAAAATGGCTTAGCGACAGAAGAGCATGTGCCAAAATAACACGGCGTCAAAACAGCACAATGGCAAAACAGCACGCATGTAGCAACTTCGAGCGCACTCTTCACCTCTCTCTGCGCGAATAATTTGCTTTGATAAATCGTTTGGTTTGATAACTTCTTTCGGTACCATTATGCTAACTCCAATTAATTCCTCTTATTAGCTGTGGTTGCTGCAACTTTTACTGACTAGTTGTTTAGTGCAAAAGGCGAACCATCAGTGTTGAGCATTAAAAAAGCTGTGATAGGTAGCGTTTTGTGAAAACAAAACAGAATGTAAAGGAAAAGGGTTGGACATCGCATGGCATTATTTAACAGCTTGTGGAGAAATAATAAAAAAATTATTGTTGGCGGCGACGGGATCGCACTCAAGTCAATGTCCTTAGTGCTGCTGCTGTGTGATTGGTAAAAACAAAGTTAGCAGTATTTACTACTACTTAACTGCTCTGATCTCTGAAGAGATTGGGTAGTTAGAGGTGATATTTTCCAACGACGTTGGCTTCGCAGTTGGTCTTTCTTGTAGAACCAGCGAAAGAGAAAAAGTTGTTGAAAAAAATAAATCCGTAAGTTCAAGTTGTGAACCATCTGGTTTGCGGCGGTTTGGTGAGGTTCCGTTGTACTCGTCGTTTCTTAATTATCACCTAAGCATAGAACATCCCCCCTAAAAAAACGGGAGATGCGCCGATTACAGATGCATTGATAGAACCGGTAAGATAAGGTGACTTTAATGTCGAGCGTATTCAAGGTGTACCATAAGCACATTCTGCGGGGTTCATTCGCCGTGAATAAAATGTCCTGGAAACACGTGGCTGCAGCTCGCAGGCGAGAAGTTGTTTTGAGTTAAAATCACAGATTATTGCGGACGAAGGGCCTCGATCGAGTGGAAACCAGTGGAGCAGAAACATGCCACAGCCTGTATACTGTTTACGTACAGCATGGGCTGGGCACACCTTTGCCGCACACGCTTTCTGTTTTTTTGTTTTTTTTTGACAACTAACAACAGCACATTGCCATGCGATTGATTAATTTATTGCAGCTGACATCACCAGCAAACTTGGGCGTCAAAATTAGCAGAACTGCTCGGTAGCCAGAATACGCACCAGTGGGGGCTTTGGTACTGCTTAGGGAGCCTTCATGTGTGCATAGAGTATACTCCCTGCTCCGAACTTGCTCTTAAGAGAACAGGTTCGACAAATTAGCCGTCGACGAGTTGGCTTTCAACGAATTGGCCTAGACCCTCCATTCCTTTACAGTGCCTACTTTGAGACATGTATTTTTTAACTCCATACTTTCATACGCTATATTTAGGGTTTGGCATTTTTGGCTTAAACAGAATAAAACCGGTAAAAGTAGGCCGAATTCATTTTTCCAAATTCGGTTTTAACTGAAAAAGGTCAGTATTTTCGAGGGCATTTGGAGGGGTGGGTGGGGGGATGTGACTCATTACTGACCGTATGGCCACTTCCTTTCGCAGTTTTCAGCTTGTGTCCAAGACCTGTTCAACTTTCAACAAAAACTCTGGGGGTGCAGGGGTCTTGAGGACGAAATCTGGGTTTTTCACCTAATAGGGATTTCTGTGCCGAATTCTTTGTTCAAAGAAGAGAGTATAATCATGAACTGAACAATGAAAATCAAGGGCGTCCGTAAATGCCGCACATTTTTTAACACCCCTAGCTTCCGTCTGCTAGAGGAGGGCATAAATACAATTGTTTTATTGTTGTTTCTGTAGTCTGAGTGAATTTACCACCTCGCAGCCGTGAAAATGGGGGGAAAAACGCACCGAGTACAAGGCTTGCAAATTTCTGGATTTTGATATTTGCCTCTACGACCGAAGTGGTAGTGAGGCTCATGTTCGTCCTGTGTACAAATACAAGCACACAACAATAATTTCAAATCACGATAGGGCTCCAGTGTGTCTTGCAGAGCAGGTCACGTCGGCTGCCACAGACAGCAACAAATAAGAAAACCAGTACCTGGTTTACTCGCTATACATTTTAAACAAACACTTTTAAATATTGCATTTTCGTCAGTATACTGGTTTTCGTCAATAAACCAAAAAGAACCAAGAAGTTTGAGTCTACAAATATTCACCGCAATAAACCTGAACCTTCTGTTTGGAATAAAAACCAAAAGAAGTACGCCGAATTTCAAAATATTGTCAATGTCCTGTTTTGACGCTGTGCCGTTTTGTCACGGTGCTGTTTTGACGCTGTGCTGTTTTCACGCCGTGCTGTTTTTGCACGTGCTCTTCTGACTCTGTGTCGTTTTTTCGCGTGCTATTTTGATGCGTGCCATTTTGTCTCCGTGCTGTTTCGACGCTGTGCTGTTTCGACGCTGTGCTGTTTTGACGCTGTGCTGTTTTGACCGTGCTGTTGTGTGGTGTACTGTTCTGTCATGGTTTCATTATTTCAAACTCCAGGAAGTCACAAATTTTGTTTGAATTATCAGAAATCGATGTAAATATGATGCAAGATAAATTTCTGATTTGTTATATGGATGGCTACACATACAAAGAAGATATTTTATGATTTTCTTTACATAGGCCTAGTAATCATAGTCAGGTAGGCTGCACATACCTGATTATGGTTTGGTGAAATGTTTAAATTTATTTATCCCTCAAAAAGGTTGTCTATCGTGGACTATTTAGACAGCACATGACACCTCAAAACAAAATTTTTTTCATCCACCAAAAGTTTTGTGCACCGCGGAGAAGCAGCACCCGCGGAAGCGGGTTCTACAGCTGCTGCTTCTCTGCAATGCACCAGTGTTCGGTAAGAAGCGAGCTCAACGGGGCCACGAGTACAAAAAGTATGAATCACACGAATACGCCGTTCCAATTGAGTGACTTATAAATACATTAAACACATGTCGGGAAAACCAAAAATTTTGATATTTGTTTGAATTAAGGGGGATATAACCTCAGAATTCACATTTTTTCGAAAAAAATGTGCTTTTAAAAAATGATGTGTTTATTAACTTCCAAAGAATGGTTTTAGAAACTTTGATTTATAAACATGCGGGATTTACCTCAAAATAAATTATTTTCTACATGTAGGCAGCCCTTTGAGTCATCAGGGAGCAAGTTTTTTTTGCGTTTTTTATTTACTGCTGCTTCGCTTCATACTCGTTTACATAGCCAGAAGATCTCCCTCTCATTGGAAGCGCTATTTACTCTATATTTAGCCCGTAGAAGCCTTCCAAGTTCAGGAAATTTTCAGGAAAGCTTGGAAAGCTTTCTTGAAAATTTGGTGCGAGCAGTCTTGTTGGTTGAGACCCGAAACAGGGTTTACGATTGGTCCTGCCCGGTGACGGGATATTGTGCCATCTTCAGTAACACCCCTTCACAGTATCTTCCACTTCAGATCATATTACTGCTTTGCTGCTTTTCCTTAGTATGATTTGCCTCTTAGTTCTTTTCAGTTTATCTGTCAAATTCTTGCTACAAAAGTTAGCTTGCCTACAAACGACACAAACTGGTAGCTATTGCCAGGGGAACAACGAAGTTTCAAAGAGGAGGGTGCCAACAGTGCTCCAGGTGAATTTTGCCTACCTCGGGCTTTCAGAAAAGAAAGGAACCTAAAGTCGAAACCTCAAATGCATTTTTCTCAGTTTTACTTTTTGGCAGGAAATGTGGTGTTATGAAGAAATGTATCATTTGACATTTCGGAAGTGTAAAGATTTCATTCATTGGTGTCCTGGGCTGAAATTTCCCGAGGAACAAGTTAGGGTGCTTATAATCTGAAAAGGCCAAATTCTTCATGATAAAAACTGAATATTTTAAAACATAGAAATTTGTTAAAATCTTTTGCTCTTTTTGGCTGTTATTGTTTTTCTCTAGAATTGCATTTTCTACAATGAATTTTTACCTTAACTTGCACTACGGGTAATCTACTTCACATTAAACCAAACATTTTGCGGGTTGCTATTATTATTTTTAAATACATTTCCTAATAAAGTAACTATTTTCTGGATTTTATTAAGCATAGTACTGTCGAGACCGATTATAACGAAGTCAACGGAAATTGGAAATCACTTTGCTATCTCCGCTATTTCGTTATAACCGACTTTGCTTAACGAAGTGCAAAAGGGAATGGGAAATCGTGATCGCTTTGCTGTAGCCTCTATTTCGTTATAACCGACTTCATTATACAGGGTTCATGCGGGGCCTTGAAATCCTTGAAAACCCTGGAATTTAAAAGTAGCGTTTTCAAGGCCTTGAAACTCCTGAAATTTTTACAGATCCTTGAAAGTCCTTGATTTTCGAGTTTAACGACAACATTTATCTTCTTATCTTCAATTGGCAGGTCGCTGTGGAAAATATGAAAGATATTTTCTACATCTGGCAGCAAATTGTATGTAACGCTGTAAACAAAGCAGGTGGCGTCTTGAATGTACAAATCACAAAGGAACTCGGGACGTTCTTGGCTTCTGCAAGGCAGCATTACCGTGCTTTTCGGGAAGCCAACAAGCGAGAGCTTGAAGATGCAAGGCAGGTGAAAAGGCACTGCATTGATGAAGAAGTTCAAAGATTGAGAAGGAAGAAGAAACTGGAAGTAGCTGTTGCTGAATTGACGGCTTCAGCAGACAATTATGCAGAGGAGGCAGAGGCCACGAGTGGCCTCTCATGGATGATGAAATCTAACAGCCTCAGGAAGACTGCCAAAAGCAAGGCACAGGAAATTCTGAACATTGACCTTGAAGTCCAGAAAAAGCAATGTGAACTACCATGAACATTGGACGAGTGCTTGTTTGGTGTATATTTTTTGTTTAACATGTGGGACACGGCAACGTGTTTTGTTAATGTGCTTCTTTGAATCTAACATACAAAAAAAAAAGCCCCTTAAGATCTTGTCTTGTGCAATAAATATCACATTTTTAACACATTTAGAATTGTGTTTTGTCTAAGTAAGGCTGTCAACATGGTCCTTGAAAATATCCTGGCTGGGCTTTGGAAATCCTTGAAAACCCTTGAATTTTTGTCTTCGAGGCCAGCATGAACCCTGTTATAACCGGTCTCACCAGTATGTTGTATAATTGGCTAACAAGATTGAAACTTTAGATGTCATCAGTCCTAATTGGGTTCAATTTACCGTGAAAGTTTGAATCAATTTGAGGGAATGGTTCAAAAGTTGACCCTCTCAGACCATGTTCCCCCACAAGTATGAAATATCAGAGTTTGAATAATCGCAATCTTACTGTACTTCAAGCTGGGCCAGCCTGCCACTGGAAATACAGAGTTGTTAGAATTAAGCTTACAAAGCCTCGCCCTTTGTCTCACCTCAGCTTGTGCACCCACCTCTGCAGCAGTCGGTGTCACATGAGAGCTCGTCGGCGCTGTCCACGTCTGAGTTCTTTGATGCTGCCGAGAAGCTGTCACAGAGCAGCTCTTCTTCTGAAGAGGAGGAAGAAGAAGGCAGTTTCTGCAGCGAAGTGTCCGATGACGGCACAGAGTATGCGCCGGGTGCCGGGGGCGACTCTGGCGGCAGGGCCCCGTCGACTCAGGGCAGGCGCTCGAAACTGCCCGCTCCCAAGCCGGACGCGGGTGACACGAGCCTCTGGAACTTGCTTTGCAAGAATATCGGCAAAGACCTGTCGAAAGTGAGCATGCCGGTGACCATTAATGAGCCACTCAACATGCTGCAGGTAAGAGTCTTCACTTTGTTTTGCTATTCATGCTGTAAATATTGTGTATCGAGGCATGGGGCAGAAATTTGGGTATTCATTTGTTGCGCAAGATAAAACAAATGCGCTGGCAATATTAATGCCAATTATCTTAACATTGCATGACAATGTTTGTTTACGGAGGCAAACTAGTGCATGCAATAAATTTATGTTCATAGGCATGGAATGGGTGCGACGAGTTTTCATTTACTGTAAAATCCTGAAAGGGCGCCCACTCTTTTGCCAGAGATAATTGTAGCAAAATATAGGGTGCGTCAGGTTTTGGTAGTCAACTTGAAAAACCACGAAAAATATGAGAAATGGCAGATTTCTTTGTGCCTTTATTCTCGCTAATCCTTGTTGCTAAATCCATTGAAGGAAACATCACTGCCGCTGTCAAAAATCAAATCAAGGCCTCGTCCACCAGGCTCTCGTGCTCCCCGGGTCCCGCCTCCGCCCCATCGTTCGATACCAAACGGTCATCGAGTTCGGCGTCCTCCGTTTCATTGAGGCTCGTTGAAATGCCATACCTCTTGAAGGACCCGCCGGACGGTGTCCTCAGAGAGGGAGGCCCATGCCTCGGCTACAAAGTCTACAACGCTGTGACTAGACGGCCTCCTTGGATTTCCCTTGGGGGTCAGTGTTGTATTCTCACTTCTTCTTTCATTGCCACTTCTTTGCCACATCTATAATTCTCGGCCACTAGATGCCACTTCGTCTTTCTCTCTTTCTCGAGCTGGGTCCTTGCGCCCTGAATAAACATCATTGGCCTGATGACGGTTGTTCAGTCACGACGTCCCTGCCGTTGTCCCTCGCTGGGACACGACAGTCAGCTGGCCCGCCGGAGGAACACGGCCTAACGCTTGTGCAACGCATCTTAGAACGGTTTCGTCCACGATACATCGGCGGGTTGCAATATTGATGTGCAGCCGCCTGGTATCAGAGCTACGTCTATGTCCTTGGCTTAGAAAGCTTCTCAGGCAGCCTCAGTTTTATGAATTGGCGCCTGGTCCAGCACGAGGAGCCTTCTCACGTCGTCGACGTTTGGTCCCCTGACCCTGCGTATCCACTCTTGGAGGACAGGACAGGTCATCCACCCATTTCTAGATGATGTGACCCGCACATTTCCTGAAAGAATACCAGTACAAAATTAATTGACCGCTTCGAACTGTCTGACTTCCGAAAGCGCATGCTGTAAGAAAGCACAAAGACAACAGGCCTCAAACACGACCGGTGGATAAATTTGGCCTACCTAACCGCCTGACCATTGAAATTGGGCAGTGACTGCACCATCTTTTGTGACTATGGTGAAGCAAGACGAAATTGGTGTGGCTCTATAGTCCGTTACAACTTGAGGAGGTGGGCGAGGGAAAGGAAGGCCGGGGAGGAGGAAGCAGACGGAACGCTGGAGAGGAGAGAGGGAAACCTCCTCCCTCTCTGGCGTCTCGCCTGGTTCCTCCTCAAAATTTTTTTTCTTCTTTTTTTTTGCAAGTTTGAAGGGGCGGTTTACGGTGGGGCGGTTTTATAGTTTCTGTTTGTGTGTAGCTACGTATATCTACGGCAGAGAAATTTAAAAATAACATACCTGGAATCTTGAGTGCAAATAGTGTCTTCGGGGGTATCTGGCCTGTTGGCTCTTTAAACACGATCAACGCTGGAAGCTTGACTCCTGCTGCCGTTGCACACAAAGCGACGGTCATTCCTTTCTGGGCACAGCCGGTGTTGGCAATTCGGATGCTTGAGTTGCCAGTAGCGTTTTTCGTTCTTATGGCATAACAGTCCATTCGCACCATAAGCTGGTCCTGGTTGGCTATGTTGTAATCCTTGCAATGCTTCAGGCGAAGATTCGAAACAGCCTTTCTGAAGATAGCAATTGCTTCAGCGTAGTCGGCAGGCAGCTTTTCACTTCCGTTTGTCCCAACCCACGTGTACACCTCGTAGCGCTTTTTCCAGCAAGCGATGTACTGGCACGATGCTTGAAAGTTGCGCAGACCCATCTGTGCCACTAGCTGTCGCACATGCTCTACGAGAAGCCGGTTGCTGATGGCTCAGCCGGCTGATCTCTCAGTCTCCAGGAAGTCCATCAATGCATCAACAATTTCTTCATTGAAAATGGGTCGTCCAGTACCCATCATTCTCTTTAGCTTGGTCTTCCCATGGTACTGCTGCAAGAGCACTTGGTATTTTGTGTTCCATTTCCGTACACACTTTCTGTCAACCTGGATGAAGCGTGCAGTCTTGCTCACGTTGGTTCCATTCTTGCGGTGCCACTCCACGATTTCCACCTCCTTTTGAATGGTGTAGCTGGACCTCATCCTGGGACCACAGGAGAAACGCCTTCACAGTTCACTGGACTGGAAAATCGGAAGGATCGTCCCAGTTCACAAACAGGGGACTCTGTCTTTCGCCTCTATCGCCCCATATCTCTAACCTGCATTGTGTTTAAGCTCCTCGAGCACATCTTATATTCTAACATCATGACTCACAAATAATTGTTTCTTCAAGCTCCAGCATGGTTTTCGTAGGGGGTTCTCCTGCGAGACCCAACTATGTGAATTTGTTCATGAACTACAGACTAACCTAGGACCCCATGTACAAATTGATGCCATATTCCCTGACTTCTCAAAAGCATTTGAGTGAGTTGCCTATAAATGCCTATTTTCTAGACTATCATCTTTGCATTTAGATCCCCTTGCATATTCATGGATTAGTAGTTTTCTCACTTTTCATATGCAATACGGTCACAAATCCAACCTAACAATGGTCCCTTCTGGAGTACCACAGGGTTCCGTCCTTGGACCCCTGCTTTTTCTTATCTTCATAAATGACCTTCCGCATAACATTTCCTGCAAAATACGACTTATCGCTGATGACTGCCTTATTTATAACACGATCACATCAGACTCTGATAATCTTTTGCTTCAAAGTGATCTCATAAAAATTAACGACTGGTGCGGAAAATGGCTGATGTCACTAAACAAATCTGAGTTTAAACTAATCCATTTCACCCGTAAAATGTCTCCCTTACCCTTCCAATATACTTTTGACAAGGACATGATCGAATCTATCTCAATGTATAAATATCTTGGCCTTAGACTAACACCTAACCTCTCGCGGAAACCTCTGCTTCAAGCCATTTCTGCAGAGGCTTCCCAGATCCTGGGATTCATCAAACGTAATCTGCGAGACGCTCCCCCCCCCCCCCCCCCCCCCCATGTCCGAAAGATGGCCTATGAAACTTGTGTAGGACCAAAATTGGAATATGCATTTGCGATCTGAAGCTCTCATCAAGTTTGCCTAATCAACCACCTAGAGTCAGCACAAAACCGAGCCTCCCGATTCTTCTTATCTTCATAAGACAACTTTACCATTGTCTCTTCTCTAAAACGTCAACTTGGACTTACACCCTTACTCGCCCGAAGGGAACTCTTTCGTCTTTGCCTTCTCCATAAGGTTTATTACCATTGTCCAGAACTAAAGAACGGTTTGCTTTCACCCCTTGATAGAATATCCTCCTGCCTTAATAACTCTTGTGCAGTTAAAAGAAATTTCCGGCAAAACTAACACATTCAATTAATTATTCCTGCCATATGTCATCACAGAATGGAACCAGTTGCCATCCTCCATCGTTAGCACCACTGATGCAACAGTGTTTTATGATCTCTTACTAGCCCATTATTTATAATTTCTCCTGTTCTTATTTTTTGTGTTCTATTATTATTATATTATTGCACGTGCTACTTTATTCATTGTTGTACTGCCCCCTCCCCCCTTATGTAATGCCCTAACTGGGCCTTTAATATGGAAATAAATGAAATGAAGATCAAGGAATGAGATGGCCAGGTCAGTGTGACCTAGTTTTCTCGGTTATTAGTTCGGACGATCGGATACCGAAATAATAACCTTGAAACTTTGTTGGGTTTTGCCTCCTTACCACCCTAGTCCTCAAAAATGTGGCCTTTTCTCTTTCTGAGAAGAATCAAAGGCTTTAATAAATCGCTATTTCTGGAGGGTGGGCGATGTATCGGCAGAGTGGCTGAAATAGATATTTGGTGAACAAAGGGGGTGGGCCATGACTCGTCTGTGGGTGCCCTTTCGGGATTTTACGGTATACTTGCTTGTTTTAGAGAAAAAAAATGCACTGTTTTAATTTAGCTTTTCTCCCTCAAAATGGACAGTAACTTGTCTTGATGCATCTGATTCCATTTAGAAAGCCGGTTTTCTGACACCAACAAAAACAGGATTGTGTCCTGGCAATAGATGATTCGTCCTTTGTAGCTCGCAAGCATATCACTTGAATTTCACAATGATGTAACAATAACATATTTTCATGAAGGAGTGAAGGGTTGGATGAACCGATTTCCCATTGTCAGCTGCTCTTTTCAGGCATTGTATTTACCGTAATATCCCAAATTAGAACTTTCTCAAATGAAGGACAGATAGACTGGGTAGAGTAGGTGGACAAACCATTGGTGGTAAAAGAGCCATGAAAATTATGTCTTTCAAATGCAGTAAATTTACCTTGAAGTAACATGGGTCACCTTTCGAGGAAGGGTCCATGTGGATAATATTGCAATAGGTTTGGGTTGGGATAATGTGCAACAGTTTCAGAGTGGCCTGAATTGAAGTCTAAGAATTGTAGTACTAAGGGAGGACATTATTTTTAATGGTGCAAAGCTTATAGACCATGTTGGCCCTCGTGCAATAATTTTTCAACTTCGGAGATGAAGAGTAAAATTGCTTTATGAAAATTCGAGGGACCAGGTAAAATTTTTCTATCTTTACCCATTTCTACCTCAAGAACTGTAGCAAAAAAAATTCCGGCTTCTCGCAGAGCATTACTGATTTCCCCCTTTGATGTAGAGAATTAAGATATATGGTAGGTGAATTGTAGATTGGTATGTTGTCTCATCAAGACATGCACGGTCCAAACGCTAAAAGCATTGCTTTTTCCTTTGATAACCAAATCTCGTAAGAACTACTTTGCGCGGTGTATGAGCAATGTGCAAAACTTGCTCTTTTTCTTTTTAAGGTGAAAACGGACATAGAAGCTTCATTTATCGGAACAAATAGAACAGGCACGTAGCCAGGATTTTGTTTCGGGGGGCGGGGGTGGGGGGGGGCCTGCCCATGACAAAATGCTGTATAAGGGGGAGGGGAGAGAGGAGGTTTCAGCAAAATAGAAAATTTCGGGGGGGGGGCCCCCCTCCCCCCTTGCCCCTGGCTACGTGCCTGAAATAGAATAAGAATGTTGCCGCGTGCGTGGCTTAGTTGGCACCGCCCACGGCTGTAATGCGGAGGTAGGGTAGTTTGAACCCCACCACCAGCCTAGTTTTCATCTTTACGTTGCGCTGCTCTTCCTAACAGTATCTCAGAACTTACCATATTTGCATGAATATAATGCAAAAAGTTTTGTTGCCCTAAAAAAAAAAAAAAAAAAAAAAAAAAACTGATTACTATTATAACGCGAGCCCAGGCCGCATAAATTTACTGCACTTCGGGGCATAGCAGAAATGAAAAGGCAATGAAAATCGAAGAAATATCACTTTATATTTTGACTGCCCTCATCCTCATTGGTTGGGTTTTTCCGTTTGCAATCCACTTGGCAACTCTGCAGATACGGAGCAGCACAGCGTGGCTTGTCTGGTAGTTCCTTTTTCTTCCGCATGAGCTCCTCAGCTGCCCACAAGCAAAGCAAGGCACAAAGCAGAGGCACTAACACACAAACACCAGACCACTCTGGAGCAGAAACTAAAAAATGCACAGGCAGAAAAAGACTGCTGAGCTCGATACACGGTCACACTCATTCTTGTTCTGGATCCTCCGCAAGAACAAACACGTCGTGTTGCACGATTGCATAAACACGGTCGGTGGTCTTGGCTTTGCTTGTGCTGACTTGACTTGACTTGGTCTGGCTTGACTTGGCTTGAATTGGCCAGTGCCCGCATTCCAGCGTGGCACGCTCCATTTCTGCGACGTGCTTTTCGGCGATAAAAAGCAATAAAAATGCTTTTTATGTTTTCTATTCCCCCCTTCACGTGGCCCAATATCTAATGAATTCTCTCCCACACCCCCACATCTTTCCCCGCTCAATCTCCTACATTGGGCCAGAGGAATGGCTTTCTCTAGACTCGTGAATCTCTTGGCTGAACTCGATTCCGAATATAACGTGAGGTCTGTTTTGGAGTGTGTAATTTCGAAAAAACACTCGCATTATATTCATGCAAATACGATATCATGTGTTCTTACGGAGTATGTTCTCGACAACATAACCTGTATAAAAGAAACTGTGGCAGGCAGGATTGAGTCAGTCGCCCTTTCGTCGCTGTCGCAGAATGTATGATGGCTTTTTTGTTTTAGTTGCAAGCACAAGTTTGCCTCATTACATATTTATTTTCAGTTTTATATCGATCTGCTCTTTTGATTTGTGACAATATCATTATTTTATTATATAAGAAATGAGGAATCAAACCAACTATTTACTTAGTTCTGCCTATCCAGAAAGGTGCACTGCGAGAGGTCCGCTTAGAGGATTCTACTGGACTGCCCATTGTTTCTTCAGTGCACTATATGTAGGATCAAAATTTTCTCGCTGTGATATTGAAAGGAGTGTACTTAATTTTTATTCTCACCTGGGCTTTTAGAAAGCTATTGCTCTCGATACATTTATTAATTTTCTATCAATCCATTCCTCTTTTTCCAGAGGCTTTGTGAGGAGCTGGAGTACAGTGATCTCCTGGATAAGGCTGCCTCCATGGAAGACCCCGTCGATCGCATGGCAAGTTAAACTGTTTGTTTTTGGTTGCGTACAGCATTTTCTGCAATCTAACCGGCGATCAAACTTTTCAGTTGTGCATAGCAGCCTTTGCGGTGTCTGGATACAGTTCATCTTATCACCGAGCGGGACACAAGCCATTCAACCCGCTACTTGGGGAGACCTACGAATGCATTCGAGAGGACAAGGGCTTTCGGTTTATTGCAGAGCAAGTGAGTCTTCCTTTAGGATTCTTGTTTCGTTGGTGCGAAGAGTGGTAGGATATTACTTACCGAAATATCCCGAGTCATCGCCCACCCTCCTACCACCTGAAATTCATTAAAAAAGTGGGGTGGGCCATGTCTCGGTGGGTGAGCACAAACACTTGAAAAAAAGCGGAAAAAAACGCCTATTTTTCTCTGCGTATCTAGCGCTGATGCACAAGAGATACATCAAACTCAAAACTCGATTTAGTTTCATTGTTTTATAGAAAAAAATGCTCACGAAAGAATTTTTTGCTATAGCGAAGTCCGTTGCTTGCATACGCGCTAGAAACACCGCCGATCTGCATATAGCGCGAACGTTTTTTCCGTGAAAGAATGTCACCACTATGTTCTCCTAGTTAGTAAAAAAAAAAAAAAAAAAAAAAAAGTCTACAAGAAAATAGCAAAACCGACCAGGCGCAACGAGCGAGCGAGAGAGCGAGCGGACCAAAGAAGCGACCAAGAGCAATGCTGGGAAAGCGGGAAAGCCGGCGGTCGCGTTGGCAAATACTTTGGCGTCGGGCCAAGTCGGGCGCCTTGTCAATTGCAAGCTCTTGCGCAACTTTCTTGTTTGGTGCGTACATACGTGCGTCCGTGCACGGCGGGCTATCAATGCACGGTTGGGACGCTCTGCAAACGTCTGTGTAGGGCGTTCCTGCAAAGCTTTATTTACGCGTTGGCTTTGCCTAAAATATTGCACAACCGGAGTCTCGACGGGCGGGAAGAAGGAGCGGGTTCGCGGTGACCTTACTTCGGCGGAGAAGACTTTGACCTAACACACCGCGGTTACATTAACAAACTCTTATTTTGTTATCTCCATCGTTTTCTTTTCGCACGGATACACGACCACTTTGGGGTCGCTCACGGAGGTAAACAAAAAGAAGTGTCTTTCCCTCCTTTGTTTTACTTTGTCACGGACGTCCTCGAACTGTAAGGTCCGCGGCCGCGTCATTCGGGTAGGATGAGTGTTCGCGGATCGCAGAGTCCGCGCTGGGGTATTTGAAGGGGTGGGCGATGACTCGGTGTTTTTTTCGGAAATCGATATTGGCCTAAACAATGGGGTGGGCGATGGCTTGGGGATGGGCGATGACTCGGGATATTACGGTAGTTTATGGGACTGGTAATTTTATCGAAGAATCGGTAAAAATGTTAATTTCTAGTGAAACCCACTTTAGATAAAAAGATTACCGTTGGAGCATTTTGTCATTAGACTCAAAAAAGAAGTGTTTCTATCCCTCATGGGAATATATAGGAGAATGAAATGAACCCGTGAGGCAGTTGGAATTTTTAGACTTTTTTTTTTTTTTTGTCTCGTTTCATAATCTTTTGTGACTTAGATTCTTTGGTCCCATTACTGATATATGTTACCATACTATTTGCTGAGGACATACCTTTGTTATTTAAAGGGCAACTCCGCTTCATTTCTGAGTTTGAAAAAACAATGCAGTCTTCTTCAGTATCGCCTAGGAAGACTACACGTCAAATATTACGACGCATTTCTGTATAAATGTTTCTTAAACGGTCCGGCAAACTTTGCAACTCGCCAAGTTGCCGAAATCGGCTGACTCGAGCGGGCGAATTCAGGCGCAACTAACAGCGCAGTCAAGGCTACGGCATGGGCGGAGCCAACATTGAGCTGAACATCATCATCATGGCCCCCTTTTGCTTGTTTTTACTTCTCCGGGCGAGCATAGCGCATGACATCAGCAACGTTGCCTCTCGGCGCTCAGCAGTGTCCACGTGATTGGCGTAACGCGCCTGCGCAGCGCGCTTCTTGGCAGCCGTCCGGCCGCCCGCCGTGGTCCCACCGTTACCGCCGTGTCCCGGGTCAACCACCGTCGTCGTCTCACCGTTTGTGATTATTGTCTCTCAGAGTTTCGTCCACACTACGGACACTACGTGCACAGACTTATGTCGTAGTTGTGTAGACGTCGTCGAATGCCGTAGACACCAAAAAGTAGTGAAAAGTGCGGTGCAGACGACACTCGCACCTGCCACACGCCCGCCCCAATCCCGCCCGTCGTTGGGCCAAGGATCACGTGACATCTCGTACCACGTGATGGCCATGTTGCCGGACGGAGCCGAAGTTTCGGTTTCGATTTCCGCTCGTGTTTAAAATTAGATTAAAAATATATATATCCCATTTTTCGCGAAGCAAACGACGTAGTGTCTTTTACTAGGGCTTTTTAGTTTGAAGTCACTCATTATTCCGAAATCTTCGGAATTGAGCGGAGTTGTCCTTTAAACTAAAGCAAACCCACTGTTTCAAAATGGTCACCAGGCAACCGCAGCATTAATGAGCAGGCTTATGTTTAGAGCACCACACACCCGCACATTGTCTACAGATATATCTGCACTTATCCGCTTTGAAAACAGCGGATGCGGTGTCAAATTAGTTGAATCCTGCTGTTTGTTGGTGGGATGTAACTGTCGATGTATGCTGCGGAAGGATAAACTTTATCCCATGATATATTCACATCATGTAGCTTATGGAATTTATCCTTGACTTCCTTTGTTTAAAACAACTTTTAGTAACATTAGCATACCTGCCAACTCTTCCGAATTTTTCATAAAATGTATGAATTGGGACTGATTTTACGATTTTACAAATCTTGCTTCAAATTTTACTAAAAAAAAAATTATATAATGTTTGTTTACATTTTTTTTTTGTAAAGTTGTTGCCGGCGGTACTTTGCACCTCCCTCTTCCCCCCTCGTGATCTGTCGCAACACCCCCCAGAGCGCTGCACCCGAGGCGGTCCGCCCCCCCGCACCCCCCTTGTGACGCTACTGGGTTCAGCATCTCTGTTTCGGCCAGTTTCCAGGCGTGTAGTGCGGCGTCAGTGTGTGTTTGTTGCACGTGTAATCGTAGCATGTCGTGGTGGCTTCGCGGCGCAATGGCGAACTCCAAACCTCAGAAGAAGGTACTTTCAGGTGTTCCTGAAGTCCTGCTTTGTACCGTACAAAAAGGGAGAGAAGTTTGGATTTTGTAGCACGTGCACGTGTGATGTAAGCGTTTCGCACGGTGGCAAGGCTGACATTAAGCTGCACATCGCATCGCGTAACCCCCCCCCCCCGCGGCCGCGGGAGTTTTACGAATTTGAAAGTTCACAGGTTGGCAGGTATGCATTAGCTTTTGCACTTCTCAGTTTCAAGGTGACCGTGTTTGGTATACAAAGAGGCTTATTGAATTTATCCTTGACTTTCTTTGTTTAAAACAACTTTTAGTAACATTAGCTTTTGCACTTCTCAGTTTCAAGGTGACTGTGTTTGGTATACAAAGAAGCAGCACTTGGCAGCCTTCCTTGAAACTTTTTTTTTTTATTTCCAGTAAGAATCTATATTTTATTATTTCGACATTCAGAGCTAGACAGAATTGTAAAAAAGAACGTGCTGGCAGAAAAATATAATTTTTAACAGTGGCATACAGTTTCTATAAAATTATGCTGACTTGTAAAAAATCCCACCATTGAAGCCGATGAAGGGTAGGTCAGTTGGAAAAGCTTTCAATTCAGGTTTTCTCTCAGCTTTGCTTTGCTTCGCTTATATAATTGTTTGCATTTCCAATTGTTTTGCTCGCAGGTGAACCACCACCCTCCTGTATCGGCCTGCTATGCTGAGTCAAAGAACTACAAGTTCTGGCAGGGTAGAAATTCTCACGTTTCCTCCTTTAAATCTGGACGTGGTCATTCGTTTCACTTTACCAAAATAGTTTCTTCTCCTTTGGTTTGCAGATGTTCGAATCAAATCAAAGTTTTGGGGGAAATCTATGGAAATCCTTCCAGTCGGTTCCGTTCACCTCGAGTTGTTCAGGTATGTGTTCTTTAGGGATTTCAGTCCCATTCCTGGGATTGCAACTTTATAATTTCTCGCAGCTCGAACAGTCACTATGAATGGAACAAAGTGACAACATGTGTGCACAACATCTTCAGCGGTCAGCGCTGGGTGGATCAGTATGGGGAAATGACAATCCGTGACCTGACGTACGAAGTCACCTGCAAGCTGACGTTCGTCAAGGTGGGTGCATGGTGGATACAGGGGTGGACTTGCCAATAGGCAGAGTGGGTAGCAGAATACGGAGAGCAGCAAAATTTTGAGGGTGTCTCGAAGAAAAGCCTCCTAGACTTGCTTAGGGTGTTGCACCAAGCAACTTTCCAATTCAGACATGTGCACCTTGAAATAAACAAAAAAACATGGACCCCAAAACGAAGCAGAGAATGGAGGATACGCTGACCAATGACAGCTATAGAGATATTAATAGGATAAGACGCCTTCGAAAAGAAAATTGTCAATGCCATCCTGACTGACTTGACTCAATGGAGCAAGTATACTGCGAACGACGAATTTTGCTCAGTTGCGTTCGCTGTACTTGTGGCTTCATGCAGCTGTTGTGCCACGCACAAAGCGAACGTGCTTCCAGGCAAAGTTTGGTGGTTGTTTGCAACATATTCGCTCCATGGAGTCCAGCCTTTACACATACTTGAACAGCTGGCCTCCACTTCCAAGCTCCAAATGACCACAGAAATGACAGAACTGAGCTCATTAGAGACTGAGCTTCATACCAATATTCTTTGCACTATAACTACCCAAACGACTTCGGAATGTCGGCACTTCCAAGCTCACCTGCTCAGCCTTTCGGTAGAAAACCAAGAGTTTTTGAACACGCCACAGATGTTGCGCAAGTTTTTGAGAAGTGCCAAAGAATTTCGCACACTCTCCTTAACGTTGACGTCCCACTTTCTGTAGCCTCTGGAGTTGCAGCGCTGAACTTTCTTCTTCATGCTTGAAATTCATAAAAAATTACTTGTGCTCTAGGGTGCTGGAGCACCGGTTCAACTGGCTTGCACTGCTCACCATCGAGGTTAAACTTCCGTACTGCCTAGGGTGGCAAAATGTCAAGTTTGCCTGTGGGGGGGGGGGGGGGGGGGGACACCATCAAAAGAGCTGTAGGTGGGAACTCTGGTTTTGGTGCTTCCCTGAAGTTGTACAGTTAACTGTTCCTAACCTTTCGCTTTATTTATTCATCTACTCTCAGGCTAGTTATTGGTCGGACAAGAGGCACGAAGTGTTTGGGACAGTAGTGAACAAGCAAGGAGACGTTGTCTGCAACTTGTCAGGGCAGTGGACTGAAGCCCTCTACTGCGGCACGGCACCCACTGCGAAGTGCATCTGGAGGCCAGGTAGGCAGTTTCATCTTGTGACTTGAAAGGTGCCTTCGTGTTTCACTACGGTAGTGTGTTCCTTGAATTCAAGCAACTGTAATTTGTTTCACTTAGGAACAATGCCTGAAGATTTCGAGCTGTACTATGGCTTTACCCGTTTTGCAATTGAGCTCAATGAGCTTGACCAGCAGATGGCCAAATTGCTGCCTCCTACTGACTCAAGGTTCCGGCCAGACCAAAGGTGACTGTTCATTTTGCACATACGCTCGCAAGGGTGTTCTAGGGGTTTCCACTTCTTTCATTCTGTTTGCTCTTTCTTTACAAAAGGATTTTATTGTGACTTCAGCACTTTGGAGGCATAAAGGAGTCCGCTTACACTCGTTTATGAGAAGGCAGTGCTGGGATTATTGTATATATGTAGATTGTTTTCGTGTAAGGGTTGCCAAGTTGAAATGTGACATAGTTGGGTTGGGCGGCCAAAAACTAAAGTAAATAGTTTGAGGATAACTACAATAAAGGAGAAGGCCAAGAAAAAAGTATAACTATTCTTACGAACCCCTTGAATTCTAGCGCCTTCGAGTCAGCAGATAAAGTGATTTGCTATTTTCTCCCAACTTGGCTATGTCAGAATTCAACATGGCGGCCACCACAAAAAACAGTCTATAGTTGCCTCTCAATTAGTGTGCACTCAACAGTACTGTGAACGCATGTAGGTTACATCTCTAAATTGGAATGCATAGATTTCAAGGGATAATATTTTTGGAATAGGTGCATTTGCACTTGTTTTTATGAGATGGAGAATTGGTAAGGTTGCAAAACACTCAATTTATTACGTATTTATTGCTGAACCATTTGCCAGTAAACTGATTACCACTTTTCGAGTTTGCAGTTTGGTTTGAGGCAAGTCCAGAGTCAGTTATTAAATTTTTATTTAGCTTTGGTTCACTTGTGGTTCTTCCAAATGTAACAATAGTGTCTGTAGTTAAATTTGGTTCTCCCAGGAACTTTTTAGGGGTGGACATAACCACCATGCGAGCTGCTGGGAAAGGGGAGGGGGGCGGCTGGGTTGGGTTGGGGTTAAGGTTGGGTTTGGGTTTGCATTGTGGCACGATCTTGCTTGTCAACAGAACACACTGCATAGGCTCTGTAAACTTTGCTGCCCTGTGAATGGCGCCACGTCGCGGTGATGAAAAGAAAAAAAAATTGCCCTGGAGAAAAAAAAAAAGTGGGGTAGGAAGGGGGGGGAGCGAACGAAAAGGCGAATATAAAGCAAGCCACAGGAGCAAGCATTGAGCTGTGAAAGAAGAGTCCTCTCGGCTTACTTCTCTCTGCCACGCCTGCGGAGAGAACTGGTGCGCGTTCGTTGCATCTGTTTATTTTGTTTTTCTCCTCGCTGAGCACACCCCCGCCCCGCACTCCCCCCCTTCCTCACTCTCCCACACTGCCGGCGGCGCTCTGCGGCTCCGCCCTAATTGTTTGAAAGAGTGGCGGCAGTCGGTTACGATAACTCACGATAACATGGCGGTGTGCAGGCTTGCTGAGTACGACGGTCTGCAGCCATGTGCACAGGCAAAATCGCATCATCATCCTGTGGCATAATCGAGCATTGGGCGGTCAGTCAGAGCAATGGGCGGTCAGTTGGAGCAGTCGGCGGTGACGCCACTGCCACCCACCGTGGGGAGAACCCTGGTTCAGAATTAGGGTGGCAACGTGGGCTAGTTGGTTCATGCTTAGTAGATTCAACACGAATCCCGGAGAAATGCTCACCGGACAGAAGCTCACCGGACAAAAGCTCACCCATTTTTTTCAAAGACCTGGACAAGAGCTCACCAGGAGGAAATTTCATGTTGGTCTTAACACAAGTGCGGACAACATAGATGGATGCATGCAACACTAGGATGCTACTATAAATTAAATCTGACAGGCGCATGGTTTGTTGATTAGAGTAGAAACAAGTCTATTTATCGATTTGTCAGAATTGAATGCAGTCCCTTACTAGCTCCAGCAGTCTTGGTAGGTCTCGGTGTACCTGGAAAATATTTTTCAGACCATTCTGCAGGCTCAGAGTGGTTTTTTACACCCGCTTCTCTGGGGGTTCACCTCTCCGGGCTTGTGCAACGAGCGCCTGATTTTGCTGTAGGCATTCAATCAGCCTCCAGACGCTTGGATAGGCGTGGCCGACAAGCTTCTGGAGCCTGGTATTCCATCCTTTGCAGGTGTTGTTTGTCCGGTCTTTATCTTGAAGTGTGGCGTCGTACGTATTCCACCATTCCGGGGGAAACTCCAGTCGTTGTCGGCGCACAGTCAGGCAAAGGGAAGAATTCGCTCTGGGTGCCGCCGCAGAAGGAGCAGTAGCATAACGAAAGGGACCGTTGAAATACATGCATCAAGGTAGCCCAACAGGTCGCCGATGTCACCGGTAGACTTTTCCTGATGTAGGTTAGTCTTTTGGGCACAAGCTCTGGCACAGCTTTCTAAATTGGTCATCTGTCTTGTACTTCTCCAAAAGGCCCCACTCCCGTTCCTTTAAAATATTTTTAAAAATTTGCAACTCAATGGTTTTATATATTACTGTTTTGCTTCAGTTTCCCTTTCGCGTCACCCTGAGATAATCCTTGATCTCAAATACATTTACGACGCACAATGACGGAAATATTTGAATTTTCCTAGCCATTCACTTCAAATATTACCGTGGACCCCAAGAAAACCCATGGATTAGTAATGAAGAGACATTGTGCCTAACCTTTATGTACCTGTTTAGCGTGACATAAGCACAATGAAAAAGTGGGGTCACTGAAGGGTGACTTTGCTCAGAGCCGTACATGGGGAGAGTTTGGCCAGTCTGTGATCTCGCAGCCAAAACGCGCCGCTTCCTAGCGAGCCAATTCGCCCGCGGCACAGAGCGAGAGGCGTGGGCGGATGTGCGTGAACTCCGGGCTGCTCCCAGCTGCGCGGGGAGGCCCACCATTTTCATTCCTTTGCCCAACGGAATGCGTGGGATCGACATGCAGATTTCGGTTCTTTCCTTTTATTTGGCAGGCTCTGGTAAGAAAATGATGTAGTGTTATTCCTCAGTGGCTTAAAAAGCTAACGAATGAAGTTTCTCCAGGTTTGAACGCAAACTTTTATTCAGGCGAAAAAGAAATAAGCCCGTAGCAGACGATGCATAGCCTCAACAGTGCTTGGCGCCGGCAATGTTGCATCCAAATGGCGGTCGTCTCCTCTTCACTCCCTTCTTTCTCTCGTTCTTTCGGCGTTCTCCTCCCTTGCCTTCACTTTTCTCCGCTCCAGCCCCTTTGTTGCCACACCCACTGGCCAAACTCTCCCAATATACGGCTCTGACTTCGCTTCTTCGGTCACTGTTCGGGTTCAAAAACTTCGGTTCACGAAGTTCCTTGGGCGAGGCACAAGGGAGCTCCGGCATACCTTGAGTCAAGCAAGCTTGATCTTATCAGCGCCACTCAGTTTCTGGGACCTAAATTTTGGCCCCAAATCGTTGCTTCTCTGCCTGTTATGGCTTATCTGTCGACACCTTTGCATGGGATGGGGTGCCAGTTCTCCTAAAAATGGTGCAATGTCCATCGCATCCACACTTTATCCCAGCCCGTGTTTCACCCGGGTAGCAAAAACAACAACAAGAAATGAGCTTTTGTCTGGGTCTGTGAAAAAACTGGTGAGCTCTTGTCCAGTGAGCTTTTGTCCGGTGAGCTTCTGTCCGGTGATCTTTTGTCCGATGAGCTTTTGTCCATTTACCATTTGACACAGCGCACAAGAAATGAAGACGAGGTTGTTTGCTTAGGTGTTTATTTTCAATAAAAACTTCAGTCGAGAGGAAGCGCTTGTCCTATGTACCCCTTCTACTTCGTCTTCGTTTCTTGTGCGCTGTGTCGAATCTACTAAGGTTATGTTCAGCTTTTAAGAAACGTAATGCACATGCTTCTAAGCTTTCTGAAAGCAATTTATTTGGTGGTTTGCAATGATTGCCAGTGGGGTTTTAATTAAAATTGTGTTTTTGTTCACAATAATTAATATTGCTCACAATAATTTTTATAGTATGCATTCTGAAACCTATGTGCGTCTCTAGTTAGGTTCTTGTCATTGACATTTAAGTTTTCATTATATTTTGTGTCCAGTGTGTAGTTTCTACAAGATAATTTTGGCCTACATTTTCAGAAACACTTTGTGTATATACTTGAATGTGATTTCTGGTTTATTACAAGTTATTTGGAGGTCGTCTCACCGTCTAGCATTTATTGGATGGTTCAGACATTTGCGTCGGTTTTGTCCACCATAACCAAAACGACAGCATACCTGGACAACCGTGAATCATGATTTCTTCATGAAGCTATTCCTTGGATTGTTTGCCACGTTGTGTAAAACGAACAGTTTTCCCGGTGACTATGTTGTGTCTGTCATTTCACTCGCGCTGAATACAAGCAACACTTTGAATCAGGCATTAGTAAATTAGGTCATGTAGAAAAATTTGTTGTTTTGCCCTATCTTGAATCTTGTATCAGGTTACTGGAAGAAGGCAATATCAGTGCAGCTGAAAATGTAAAGTCCCAGCTTGAGCAATTCCAGCGTGAGCGGCGTAAGCAGAGGGAGGAGTCTGGCCTCGACTATCAGCCCATGTGGTTCAGGTGAGACTGGCATTTTCTGCGCCTGGTTTGCAAAACTTGCAAGCTCAGGAAGTTTTTAGATTGTCTGTGGGGCATTTTCAGATAAGATAGAACAATGATGTTTGGTGACCATTTCTAATTTTGATATGAAAAAAAAAATTTTGCTGGCTCCATGCCCAGAAGAATAAAACCAATCCTTGGTTTGAAAAAAATATGTCTATGAAAAACATTTGTAAGCACCCTATCAGTCACGTGCGTGTTTTGCATATCGCGCGATGTTGGCATTTCGGGCGGCTTCCCCCCAAAAACTGTTCTGGCTATGGGTCTAGAAATATTTCCTGACAAATTAGGCATAGGAAGGATTGATAAAAAGTATTAATCACCAAGCATTAGGGTCGTTACTTTGAAAAAATATACCGCATCTCCACGTGGTGAATGATGTTGATTGGGGCGAAGCTCTGGTGGTGCTTGTCTGCGTAGACGCTGAGCCGCAACATGCCGAGCCTTTCGTTCGTTTTCATCCATGTCGGAAAGAGAATGTGTGGTATGGAACGTGGTTATATACGCATTTGAGCATTTGACCGCGGCGCCCTCTCGTCTATAAACATTGAGCCAGTGCATGCGAAGTTTAACGCGGTTATATACGCATTTGACTGCAGCGTCCTCTCCTGTATAGACGTTGAGCGGCTACATGCAACGTTTCATCCATGACATCCCCAGCTCTTTAGTTACTACCACATCTCAGAGCCCCCTACTCGTCCCGCAGTCGTGGCCAAGTGGTTAAGGCGATGGACTAGAAATCCATTGGGGTCTCCCCGCACAGGTTCGAATCTTATCGACTGCGCAAACATTTTTTTTTTTCATCATTTTTTTTTTTTTTTTCTTTACACAAGCACGTGAGCTCACGAGCATGAGCACCAGCAAGATCGATGTGAGCACGGACGCCAGACGGACAAGGCTAGACCCTAAGGAGCTTCAACCCCTAAAACAAAATTGCAAATACTACGCATTGTGCAATAAGGCTCTGGGTTAAAGCTTTTTTTTCTTCGTATCCATAAAAGCTGAGGTCTTGGTGTTGCCCTGTTTATAGTTCATCTTCGCATGAAATATTGTTGTCCTGGTTAGCGGGAGAAATTTACAATTGCTCATACAGGGGCGTTTAAGTTAATATACATTATTTTAAAAATCATTGTAAGAAAAATGTCATGTTTAATATTTATTAAACTCTGAAATTAACATTAATTATATGTACAAACAGAATCTGCAAAATCACAATGCAATATTTGTGTGGCTTTGAAGTTATAAAGCGAGAAATATGGCCAAATTGGCGCTAACGCGGTTGCCGTAAATGGGGCGTGCACATACCCGTTCTTCACAATTTCATTATTACAGGGAGGGAACTGCTGTGCCAATTGTGCCATTGTGTCATTGTGTGCCTTTTGACTTTTCATGTGCCACATTGATACAAAAGTATAAATAAGAACTAAATTGCGCCAAGGTGTGCCCAAACTGAAATTATAAACGATCCTCGACGAAATTAGCTGTTTTGCAGTTTCTTTTGGCGACATTGACTTCGGAACTTACGGCCCAAAGGGGACGCCAGTGGATCCGAATTCAAATCTGAAGCTCTGTATCCAAAAGTCACTGCCACAGTGGTCGCTGCCATGGTTAGACTTCGTTTCAGCTTATAACAGTTGTTACAGCATCCCTCATTGCAATGCTTCTGCTACCAGGGGCTCTAAATTCGTCAAACACAAAGCTGGAGCCGAAAGTTCGCTGAGCGCGTTGATTGGACATCGGTGACAAGAACGTGAAGTGATCGTCGTGACTGCCCAATCGGTGCGCTCCATCAACTTCGGCCTCTACTTTGTGTTCGACGAGTTTAGGGCCCCAGACCTCTTTGAAGCCATTCACTGTTGCTCTGCTTCGTCTAAGATGATGCTACAGGTGCGAGCTCCGGGCCTTCAGCATCCCTGCCAAGAATATGTGCTCGTGCATTGCGAGCACTGTTCAAGGCTACATGCTGGTGCTTGTAGCATCGGCTGCGCCTGGACATAAGCTGAAACAAAGTAGAGCTGCCGTTGCTCAGTGCTTTCTTGGAGTCCTGGAGTCACTTCATCTGAATAGTGGAGCAAACAGCACCGCCATATTGCGATAAACTCAAATGTATTTAAGTTGGCGTGCCTCCCTTTTGGCTCTACTTTCACTGTTTACAAAAATCACAGTCCACACGCAGTGTTGACACGTGCAAAATCAGTCGAGCCAGCGCTCGCTCGATATTGTGGCCAGCCAGAAACTGCGCGTGCATAACACACAAGCACAGCTATGAACGCGCCTATATAATACGCTTTTATGGAAAGGTGTATTGCGAGCCCGCAGGCTCGCAATACACCTTTCCATAAAAGGAAAGGTGTTCCAGCTCGTGGAACATAAGAAAGGCGAGCGAGCAGTGAGGCATATGATGGAGCAAGGTACGAGCCAGCGTTACTAAAACACTCAGTTGGGAAACTCCTATAGAAACAGCTTTCAAAAAGTGGCCCCAAACTGTCTCCGAGCACCGAGCTAACGACGAACACAACGCCACCATTTCTCCCGCAGCGGCCACTCGAAGAACTGCACGTGACTTCCATTTTGGCTTTAAGAACAGATACAGCGGTACAGGTTACAGGGGTGCCACCCCCATCTCCCCGGCGGACGCACCGCGTTGAGCTACCGAAGTTAAAATGCACCTAGGGCGGGATGTGCTACCTGAAAGGCCCGCTGAGGTATGGTTGTATAAAAACAATATTAATTGTGCCGCAAAACTCTGCAAACTAAAGATTTTAAAAACATAACGCGCCCCTCTTTTGGTACTAAACTCCAATAAATTTCATATAAAAAGAGTTTTTTTCGTTTGTTTTTACGCAAAAACAGGCTTTCAAAAAGCTCAAGGTGACCACAGTACAGACAAATGATAAAGAGTGGCGCTGTTGTCGCATTTAGCTCGGTCTCGGTGGACGCCAGCGGCCCAGGTTTCGACGGCGAGTTTCCCAACTGAGTGTTTTAGTAACGTTGGTACGAGCTGAAAGCTATTTCTGCCTCTTTGTTTATATTTACCTCTTCGCAAGTCGGTTTTATCAAATGTCACACTGTTGTACAGTTTTGCTTTATATATTTTGTCTAATTTTCATGTAATTTGCTGAAACATGCTTCAAATAAAATGTTAATTGAAACTACCATTCACATGAAATTATCTGCATGCCTTATTTCCTTGAGTTTTGAAAGCCAGGTGACATTTGCCCTCTATTTTAGCATTCTTAAAACTCTTATGCTGCTCCCAACTTTCTCCAAGACCTCGTTTTTGCTGCTCCCAGCTTGCTCCAAACTGCAGTTTTTTCTGCTCCCAAGATTGCTCCAAAGGTGCTTTGCCCAGTTCCATCCCTGTTATTATTAAAAAGCATAAAAATACAACATGCTGCTCAGGAGAAGACAAATGGACAGCACAGAGGTGGACGGCAGTTTTGAAGGGAAAATTCCCAATACATTTTAGTACAACCGACTCAAAAATGCCCATGGGCTGGAGCAGTCGAGAGGCGCCATGCTATAACATGCTTCGTGGTGCCTGTTTCAACAGCCGGCGTGTAGCGTCTCCATTTACGCGATGTAAAGGAGCAATTCTTGTAAATTTCTCCCGCTAACCAGGACAGCAATATATTTCATGCAGTGATAAGCTATATACAGAGCAACACACTGGCAAAGTTTGAAGACCTTAGCTTTTATAGATACGGAGAAAAAAAAACTTTAATCCAAAGCGTTATTGCACAATGTGACGTATTTGCAATTTTGTTTCTTAAAATGACGACCCTAATAGTTGGTAATTAATACTTTTTGTCAGTCCTTCCTATGCCTAATTTGTCAGTAAATATTTCTAAATCCGTAGCCAGAACAGTTCTTTTGGGAAAGCCGCCCGAAATGCCAACATCGCGCAATACGCAAAACATGCACATGACTGAGAGGGTACTTACAAATGTTTTTCGCAAAGACAATTTTTTTTTTTTTTCAACAAGGATTGGTTTTATTTTTTTGGGCATGGAGCCAGCAAAATATTTTGTTTTCATCAAAGTTAAATGGTTTCCGGACATGGTTGTTCGATCTTATCTGAGAACGCCCTGTGAGTAGAATGCTTGGAAGATATGATTTTGCTTTGAAATAGAACAATTAACCTCAGTTTCAAGTACCGAGTAAGACATGTTCCCCTGTTACATACCTGCCAACTCTTCCGAATTTTTCGTAAAATGTACGAATTGGGACTAATTTTACGAATCTTGCTTCGAATTTTACGAAAATATTTTGTTCTGTAATTTCTTCTTTTTTTTTTTTTTTTGTTGATCTGTTGTTGGCGATATCTTGCACCGCCACATGAGGGCGATAACTACTGTCCACGGCAGCGTCGTGGTTTTTACTATCCGTCTATCCGGTGGCCACGGATCGAAAACCCATCCAAAGCTCAAAGCCGTGTGTTCGGTGGCGCACGTTGGTTCGGCGTGCTCAGACGTTGTTCGGCCTTGTTGTTTCGGCCAGTTTCAAGGCGAGAAGTACGGCGTCTGCGTTTGTTGCACGTGTAACCGTAGCATTCCCCTGGTCGCTCTGGCTTCGCAGCGCCATGGCGAACTTCAAACCTCAAAAAAGGCACTTTCAGATATTCCTGAAGTCCTTCACGTCAAAATTCCCGTGCTTCGTGCCGCCCAAAAAGCGAGAGAAGTTTGGAATCTGTAGCACGTGCACATGTGGTATAAGCATTTCGCACGGTGGCCAGGCTGACATTAGGCTGCACATCGCTTCTCTTAACCCCCTTCCCCCACCCCCTCCGCGACCACGGGACTTTTACGAATTTGAAAGTTCACAGGTTGGCAGGTATGCTGTTATAAAGAGCTGTGTAAAAATGTTAATGCCATTGATAAAATTGAGTACCAGACATCATCCAATTCCTTACAAAATAAGCTTGCACTCCATCAAAATTTAGTTGTGGATGTTAGCTATCTACTGCTTGAAATTACTTAAGGGGGGATACGGCCACGAAATTCCATTTTTTTCCGAAAAAATGCATTTTCAAAAAATATTATATTTGGGTTCACTATGTTCTGAAGCATAGTTTCAGAAAGTTTTATTTATAAATGCGCAGTATTTATTTCGCAAAAAATTATTTTCGGCAAGCTCGCGGCCGCGCGCGGCGACCCGCCGAGCAAGCAGACGGCGAAGTTCGGCATTTTCAAATTAGGCCTACTCCGCGCTCGTTCGACGCAGCCGAGATATCTTACCCTCGTTGGAAGCGCCGTTTCTTCTAGTTTCTGCCCATAGAAGCTTGCTACGTTTGAGGCTATCTGTGTCCCGGGAGAACCCCGTACATACAAGCAGAAAAAACGTGGGAACTATGATACCAGCAATCCCATTGGTTGTGACCCGAAACAGGGCTCACGATTGGCCGCCTGCGTGCGCTATCGGCAGCTTCTTTCGCTTCTGATCGTATCGCCAGTTTGCCGCTGTTTAGATTCGTTTTCCCTCTTTGTTCCCGGTAGTTTTTCTGCCGAGAAATGCCTGCTTCCAAAGTTAGCACTCGCAGTAGCTTTGGCCGGCGTTCTCAACGGCGGAAACAAAGGGCCGGCGGAGACGGGGACCCGTCTCCGCCACCGTCGTCACGATCTCCAAGCTCAACTGGTGCTTGGCGGACATCGGAGCCTACAGCTTCATCTCCGAATCGGATGTGCTCACCACGTTCGAGAGGAAGCTCAGCCTGCGCGATTTCGACGCGGGGATTACGGACGACCCGGAGCTGACAGACGCTCCCGTTGAAAAGCCCCTGAACGGCTCCTCAATGTGTCCGCCATGCAGACTCTTGTTGCGATTTTACTCTGCCTCAAGTGCCACGGAAAACTACTGAGCTTGCAGGAAGTTGACATCAACGTTTAGTTTGTTGTTAGCTGCTCGACTTGCGGAGACATCGTCGCGACACCGCACTCACCATCAATCGGCAAGTTTCGAGAGAACGAACTCGCGGTACGTCTAGGCGTCGTTGGAAGAGACTGTGGCATCAGTTTCACAAAGCTCACGAATCTCTTCGGGGGCCTCAAAGCAACTGCCCTCCTCATGCTCATGTAGTTGAAGGTGCCACCAATGACTCGGGTAAATTTCGAGTTTCTGGCACTGTCCAAAAAAAAAAAAAAACAAGTTGAAACTTCAAACGCGTTTTTCTCAGTTTCACTTTTTGGCAGGAATTCTTGTTTTAGGAAAGCTATCATTTGACATTCTGAACACAGAGGGACATCATTCAAGGTTTTCTGGGACTGAAATTTTCTGGGGAACAAGATAGATTACTTCACAGTTCAAAAAATCTACTCCTTCATGAAAAAAAAAATTTTTTTTTTTAAACAAAAAATTTACATTTTTTTTTTAAATTTTGGGATGTTCTTATTTTTGTTATGATTGAATATTTTGCAATTTATTTTTTATCTAGGTTGCACTGTGGGTATTGTTCTTCACATTAAAGCAAAAAGTTTGCCACCAGCTAATTTTATTTTTCTACGATAGACTTCCTAATGAAGTGTCTTTTTTCTGAAGTGCGAGAACCGTAGCATGCTGTAAAGTTGACCAATAATGCTAAAACTTTGCAGATTATCCTTCCTCATAGTGCTGAAATAACCCTCAAAATTTTAACCAAATTGGGTGAAGGGTTCAAAAGTTGACCCTCCCAGGCCATATCCCCCCTTAAGTATGAAAGTTCTTAGGCCTCACCCTATATACAAAATGTCAGAACTTTTTATGCCTTTTTAACTTTACTATTGTTCATGGTGTGCTGGAGCACCACTCTTCAAGCTACGTTTTCAGGGTGCTTATTGCTTGGTTCAAACAATATCCCTCACCAAAAGCTGTTTTGGCATAGAAATGGGTCGTGGGTTATGTGTTATTACTTCTCAATTGTTTTGGTGGCTTTCTCTGGGGGACACACATCTCTTTTATGGAACTGTTGTCATTGTGTGCTTGCCAAGTGGGCAGGGACACGGGGTGAACTTTGATTGTTGGAACTGACATCTCATTTTCGTTTTTCCAGGAGAGAGACAACGAAAGATGGCAAAGAGCACTGGGTCTACAACCAGAAGTACTGGGAGACACGTGCAAACCCAGGTTTCAGCAATATCTGTTTCCCAGAAAAGCTTTGGGACCCTCTGTAGTGAGCTGGACTTTCCTCTTCGTGGCATCAGGGTGGTGGCTGGGTCCTCTTCTTTTTTCCCTTCCTTGTTTTCTGCTCTTTTACCCCACAGCCTTGTGTTTTGCTCAGGTTGTGCGCACATTGACTGCACAGCCAGCTTTTTTTTTTTTAATCTTTACTCTTTTTAGAAATTGACTACCTCGAAGAGCCGCACACATCGAAGAAGGGTTTTCAGAAACATTTGAGGTAGACCTTCAGGTGTTCTTGATTGATGGTTAACACTACTACCCAGGGACTTTCAAGCCAGCAGGTTTACTGGTGGCACGTGATAATGTTTGGGTGTTTTTGCTTAGTGCTCTGAGGTCTTGCATGCCCATGCTGTTAGGGATGCATGGGACTATTGCAGGCGAAAAATCTTTTATTTTTTGTCTTGTTCTATGCTTTGCTCACTTTGTACTCTGCATTTCTGTTGGGGTGCACTCTTATGAGTGGTATATAGTACTCTCAGCAAGCAGCACTAGGGGCTGCATTTATGGTTGCTCTGTGATTTGCTTTTCCGGTGAAAACGTGGTGCCACGAAATGTTAAGGACTACACTCGACAGTGGTCGCATTTGAGTATCTTTATAGACTCTGGGTACTCCCCCAAATCCTTTGAATCTGCCTTAAGAGCCTGGGGAGTTTTGACCTGTTGATGTGCATCAACTGCCTGTTGTTATTTAACACAGTGTACCACCCATGCTTGAAGCTTCATTGAGTTAGTTAACTTAGTGTCACATTTGTTGCAGTAATTTATTAGTTGTAGCTTGAACTGCCTACAAGTGTAAAGAGTGCTAGGGGCAAGAGTGGACTATTAGATGACGGAAGGTTCACACTAGTGTTCAACTTCTATAGCAGTTTTTTAAAGTTATATGTAGAGTTTGGTCTTGTAGTACTTTTCACTTTACATTTACACCTTTGCTTTTATCGTTTTATTCTGACTTGAAAGAATTGTGTGTAATACGAGTAGTTATTTGATTGCACCCTGCAGGCAGGTGTAGAGGCATATTTGATTTGTTATTGTGTTGACAGTGTATCTATGTTTAATGTCAGGAAATGTTGAGATACTGCGGATAGCGAAAATATTATAGTAACACTATGGTGTAACCTTGGAACACTTTTGAATGTGCTGTGTTGGGAAGCAAAAATCTGTGATTGCTGTGGTGTTGGTTGTAATCTGGTTTTCCATTTTTTGGGATAGGGGAAGGGGGAATGAGAAGTGCTAGCTACCTCTGGAAATTGGTGGCAATAGATAGTGCCTCATGTTTTGGAGAACAAGAGTGAAGAGCCAAGCAAACAAAAAAATCATATTTCTGGCGTCCAACACACAAATCAGTAATGTACCACAAAATTCCCGCAGCTAAATGATTTCATTTTCTTACTGCTTGTAGTCAGTCTTTAACCGTGGGAGTAGCATATCATCTTTCTTTCAAGTGCCTGCATTTCTATGGGGATTACTTTTCTGTTTGTTTTTCATAGGGTGAATTTTTCGCGCAACCAGGTCTTTGGGGAAGCATTTTTAGGAGTTTTGTTTTGACTCTTATGAGTAAGAAGGAAGAAAAGTGTTTGCCTTGCAAGCAGTCCTGTAGAAGTAGTATGCACACAAAACAAAATCTTGACCCTTCTAATGATGTAACTAATCAAATTTTTGGGGAAAGTGTTTTTATCATTTTAACGAAGGTGAGTGATCTCATTTTCATTTATTTTAGCATGAAAATCTCTTGCAATGGGTAGGAAGCATTTTATAGAAGTGTTATGGGTGGGTAAGCAAGCCTGAATGTCATTAGCCAAGGTTAACATCTTACTTTCCTTCCAATTGTGCAAATAATGTTTTCTTACTGCAGTGATTGTTAGGACAAAAACATAGCCTCTCTCACACTGTTCATGACAAAAGAAAACTCCACTTTTCATGGCTTCAATGCGTGAAATGCTTGAAGGTTTAGGATGGAAATTGTTTTAATGGCACTTCCTCTAGCTGCTGAACACTAAAAAGCTAGTGGTGCATTAGAGCTGAGAAAAAATGTTTGCTTGAGGAAATGCAAGACCTACACAGTTTAATTCCTTTGCACCTGGTTTAAGAAAAAAAAACTAAAAAAAAAAAAACAGAACATTTTTTTTTTTTAAATATAGGGATTTGCTTGTATGCCAATGACTAGGCTGGAGTTGCTTCTGCTCTTCAGCTTAGTAAAACTTCCAGTGATGTTGCACATAAGTAAATGCAAGGTCACATTATAGCAAGGAGTTACAGCTAGCCTATTATGTTTTTGTTGATGAATAGGTAAACCTCGGGTGCAAGCAGAGCTCCCCGCACAGTCTCGAAAGCTGGAAATGTAAATTCCAGGAAATATGCTTGTACTACCGCACACTAAGTGATAATTCCGACTACAACTTTAGTTCCCATCTAACAAATCTGTTTCAGTTATATCCCTTGCAAGACTTAAATCAAGTTAAAGCTCGTAAGCTCATACCTTGCATCATCAGAGTTACTGCAAGATACTTCATGGTTGCTGCAGTCTTTATGATTTCCCTGTTATTTCTCTCCCTCAACTGTGCATAGGTAAAAACTACCAATCGGGTGAGAAGCAATGTTGCTATGATGTCAGAAAGGTTGTTGTAGGTGCAGGAGCCTAAGTGCATGGTATACTCAAGCTTGAAAACTCTTAACATTGCACTGGAAACCAAACTGACAAAACTTGGAAATATGTTATAGGTTTCAAACTGTCATATACTTCAGTTTTCAGTTTTTTTTCTAGATCTGGACAGTTCTTTCTCTGCACATATGTGGATGAACTTGTTGGTGCAGCCTTTGGGTAGTGAATAATACAGATGATCGACAAGGCTGGTTTGGTGTTGGAACACATGGTTCTCGTTGCCTCTTGCAGAAACAGGGTCTTTTTTGCATCGGCACTTGTAGCTTCGTACTTGTTGCAAGCACTCTATCCAAAGACAGAACAAATTACAGTGCCAACTACATCAGCCCCTATGGTGTGTTGCCAAAATCCTTCTGCCTGCCTTGTTTCTTGCTGGGAATTTTAATTTCAAGTCAAATGAGAATAGCTAGCTTCAAATTTGCCTTTTTCAACTAACCTCAATTGGTGCAGAGATATTTCAGAGGCACCCTCTTGGTGGTTCTTTTCTGTAACGTCACAACCAAGATTTGCCTTGCTGTGACGTCACGAGTTGTGACCCAATTCACTTATGGTTTGCAACTTAGTTGCCAATCATAAGTTTGATAGTGTGTGCCCAAGGCACTGTAGAAGGTTGGAGTCCTCGCATTCTCAAACAAACACCATTGAAGTTGACAGTCTGACATTATTATTATTTCTGTTGGTGACAGCAGAATTAATTCTACTAACGTCAGCATAGTAAGCGTTCTGCCAGCCGTGGGAAGCTGACCGCAGCGACGCTTTTGGTGGCACACATCAGGAGCGAATAACAATATGTAATGTTTTCTTTTGGGGTGGTTTCGGTCTTGCTCTTTTTTATTTGAAGCTATACTTACAAATAAGTCATCAGATCTGCCTATTACATTAGAAAATTCAGACTTGGAATTTATTGAGTTACAAAATGTTTTGAATCTACCGAAGGTGGCGTGCCCTGTTTTTGTCCATTGTATTTTTATTTTTTGTGCAATTAACCCAGTGTTGGAAATGGATTTATTCTATCTGGTGATTAAATATGTCCAGTGGAAAGGTTGCTATGAAATCTGGAAAATGTCGCTTGCTGTTGGTACTTAAACATTTGTCAAAATATTTGTAGCACCTGCTTATTTGGGAAAATTGCGTGCAGAATCGTCTCAATTTGAGCATCAACTTAGTGCATGCTGTTGTGTGAACACTAATAGTATGAATTTTTGCGGGACTGCTTGAATGTTGACAAATCCTCATTTTTGTTGTACTAATTTTTCGTGTGCCCAAGTTTTTGGCACAAATATGAAGAAAACTGGATCCCTCGTGTGTCAATCATGCACACCTTGCTATCCAGCAATTTTAACCCTGATCTGGCAAAATAAAGGCAAACACAATTTATATATTCTTTTTTAGATGTAACTTTAAAATGTCTTAGATCCTTTCTTGTTGAGGGCTGATGTTATAAATTTTTGCATTCATTGCACTTTATATTACCTTGTTCTTTGCATAAATACCATTGATGTTATTGCATTTTGGCAGTTTTTAAAGTTTTTTGGTTTTCTAATATGACAATCAAAAACGACGCCATACTTGGTGACCCTTTCACTATCAGATTTACAGACAAGGATTTTCTGTTTTTTGGTGACTGTGGTCCTCTGCTATTTGGTTTGGTGTGTTATATTTTGTACAAGATGCACTTTGTACTTCAGTAGAAGTTCTGAAATTTGCCATAGTACTAGTTTCTAAATTTCTAGGGTGAATAGGGACCTCGTAAACATGCTTGAGATGCTTGCTGAGAGCTAGCATCCTTGTCTATTTATGAAACTTGCATCCTGATCTTTTGCAGTATATTTTTTATCCATGTTCATAGTTTTTTTTGCAAAATCGCAGTGTTAGAGGTTTTTGATAATTGTCCAATGTGGCAGGTTCAGTGTATCAAAACTTTTTTGTGCTGCTTGAAGACTAAAGAGTTTCGTGATGATTAATGTTTTAGTGGCTATGGACAACTACTAATTATGCAAGTGATTCTTCATTATTAAGGGTCCCTAGTTTTATCAGTGTTTTGCTTGATAATAGGATAGCTGAGGGATTGTTGCAAACCATATCTGTTGAAATCAAAGTCATGCCTACTGTGTTGACTTAAGGTACCTGTACAGGTGGTTCGGCTTCCAAAAGCTATACAAGGCTGTGAAAGCTGTCACGTTGCTTGTTGTTTACTGTTAGAAAAGAATTAAATAGTTGGATTGTTTACCCTGTTACCTAGTGTTCAGGAGAGGAGGCAAAGCACACATTGCTAGCTTCATCCTTAGCGGTAGTCGACATTAAAGAGGAAAAGTGATATGTCAAGTTGACTAACTTTAGGTATTTAAAAAAAACCGTTGCTGAGTTGAAACTATTTTATTTTGAATCTACTACCTACTCCCAGGATTGTTTGGGTATTGCTGTTAGGATATTATCTTATTGAACTGGATTATCATTGCTGTGCTTGAGCAAGGTTCATCATTTGTTGAGCATCATTCTTCTGGTACTGCGCGCACATGGGAGTACTTACTTGCATTTACATTTTAATTAGAATTTCATAGGATGGGACTTGCACAGAAGCATTGGCGAACGTTTGCCCAGTCATTTAAATTGACAGGGAAGTATTGATTTTTTTGTGAAACGATGTTTTTAGATTTTGGTGAGCTGTAGCAACGAATTTGAAAATGATATTCCTTTGTATACAATCTTCATGGTTGTGGGACATTCCCGCAGGCATTTGGCAGTTGGCTTCTGGGTTTGCCGAGTGTTAATAACCTTGCTTTTTTCATTCCTTGGGCCAAAGTGAAAGTAGGTTTTAGGCGATATAGCGTGCCGAGTGGTGCGAAAACCAGGTTTAGTCGAGCTTTGTTATGTATAATAGTAAAGTACAGAGTGATATCTGCTCAGCAGTACTGTAAGTCTTGTCCTGTTCTAGTGACTGCAGCAGTAATAGGGGAGCAGTGACTAGCAGTTTACGTAAGAGGTGCAGTATGGAAAAAATATAAAGATTTTCTAGCGACTTACCGGACTTTTAATGTTGCTTTTCATCTTCATATCAGCTCTGCAAGTGCTTTGGAGAGGGATAATCTCTATGTATCCCATCTAGAATACTCCACTTCTGTAAAATGGAATTCAATGGCTCTACTGTTGAGTGGTCACCACCATAGGTTTTGGCCATCTAGCAATAATTAAGAAGTTTTCAAACAGTGATGCTCCCTTCATGTTTGTTGCCTTTTTCATGCTTTGTGCGAGCTCCCAGCTTTCGAGAATACGTTTTTATTTGTTGTGGACAAATAAAGTGGCAAGGATGATGCTGTGCCCTTCAAAATGCACTACGAGCGGTTGAGTTCAATTTTTGAAAGCTTATTCTGGGCGGGTTTTGCGTCCCAAGGTTCGGCGCTGTTCGAGCTTCCTCTTTATTACGGCGCCGAGGGTTAACCGTAGCAGTGTCGCGGTGGTGTGAAGGTGGCGGTCATGATGGGGTGGTCGGTCGGTCGGTCCGTTTCGTAGGTCTCGTGTATCGGTTGAAAGTCACCAGCGGCGAGTTCAGAGGGACAAGAGACCGAGTATTTTGTTTCCACCTTTTTCTTTTGCTGGTCCGTATATCACCGTTTTTTCTCGGTTGTTTTAATAAATATCTCAAAATTTCCGTGGTACACTGCAGTATCTGGAGCATCGGGTGATGCAACGCGCATCCAGTCTGGGCACTACAAACGTGCAAATGTGTATTCGTGGGTGTAATGATGCGTTTCCCAGCCCAAATGCTTGCTATCAATGTTTGCGTGCAAGGATCGTTTTAGTTTCGGAACCGCGGAATGCTACGCCGAAGTGCAGGTCTCACGCGTGCCGCACCGCACCGCGTGTGTGAGCGGGGTGGGAGGCACTTGATCGAATGACATTTTAGCGAACGCCCACGTTTCACCGAATGACACTTTAGCGAATAGTCGGACGCCGCGAAGCGGCGTTTTTGAGCGGGGCGTCCTGTCGTTTATCGAAGGAACTTCGCACCATCGATAGCACGCTGCTATGATTTACGGCGAAAGAATTCAAACCGCTGACGGTTATTCTGCCAGCTGATCCATGAACAGTCGGGCCCGAGTCGCAAGGACAATAAAGTTAGAACGACTGTTTGCAAGAGTTTGCAATGCCAACAGTTTAGCGACGCGAGCTTGCAACTTGAACGGGTGAGAGAAGTGCACAACAGATGTTTAAACACCTAGGATGGTATCTGTCAAGCTTTCGGGGGACTGCTATGCATCTGTCTCGGGTACTTCTACTTTACGCTAAGGCAGCTATCTGAGCAGTATTGTTCACTGTACTTTTTGTTTTTTTAACCTGAATGTTTTCAAATTACGTTTTTGGTATCGCCATGGAGTGGGCGTGTTGGCTTCAAGTGCGATTATTTTCCCCCCAAGGCCGTTAAACGTTCTGCAGAACAGATCGAGAAGACCCCGAGAGTCACACTTCCTTGAGCGTACTTCGACAAAGCAAGCAACATTCCCCTTCACGTGACTGCAGCTCCATGTGCGAGCTGCTTGGTTTGAAATTTGTCTCGGTGCTTTAAGCGTTTTTAATCAGAGTAGGTTTTGTTCCTCGAACTCTGTCAAGATTTCAACAGAGTTGATTCAGCATGCACAACTCGACCCCACATTCTCTCATGTCCTCAAACAAAATAATAATAATAAAAAAAGAAAGATTTTGGAGAAAATATTAATTAAGATTTATTTAAGCGTTAGTCTTTCGCTAGAATACAGTGTTCCTTTACCAGTAGATATATTTTAAACATGGCAGATTGAGTGATCAATCCTTTCGATTGCTGAAAACAACGTGGTGACTAAATCCAACAGTTGAATTAACTTGTTGACGCAGACCCTACCATATACTAGAACAAAAGCAGCTTGCTTAATATTTTATATGAGAAAAGCTATTTGCTTTTTTTTTCGCATTTGATTTGCTTGCAATAACGTAACTGACAAACGAAGTGGAAGGTAAAAGGAAACTTCCAAAGCTCTGATTTGCCCAGAGAAGTACTGCTTCTTGTGTTGAGATTGATATAAATCTTGCATGCGTGATGATTATTGTAGTTAAATGTAGAACAAATGCGGGCATAGAAAGCGTCGTACTATGCACGAACAGTAAATATAATTTTTTTTTTTAGAAATGTTTGAATAAAGTAGCAAACCTGGTGTGATTTATATCGTGATATAAATCACGATTTAATTCACGATTTAAATCTTGATTTTAATCTCCACCCTTCCCCAGGAGCACGTAGGAACGTGTATTTCAGAAACGTTACTGTTTCTTGCCTAAAGCGTGTGGGGCATTCGTTCACTGCAACGCGGTTTCTCGGACATGATTATGTCCAATTTTTAACCGTCTAGAGACACCGTCACCTCAAGATTAAGACATGCGATATCGGGCGAGTGCATCCCGTGGCTTCCAGCGATTGGTCCAAGTGTGTACACCGCGCACTCGCACGTGCGGACAAAAGAGCGCACAATGGGAAGGAAAAAAAAAAAAAAAAAACGAGAAAGCACGTTTTATGTTTTTGTTTTGTTTTGTGCTGTTTAGCTTTGTAGCACAGCCTTCAGCCGCGCGCTTGTGCATATCAGTGCGGAGTTTTAGTGGATCGTTCCGACAACTCCAATAACCACCCTGTTACTCCGCCGTCGCCTTTGCGGATACATCGTATCGCTATCGGAGGTATCAGAAAGCACTAATCGTAACATCAAAAGCGTGTATCGTCAAGGGAAAAGTCTGGAGTATCTGATGCTTAAAAAACTGAAACTGGTTGACTTTTCGGGGAAATGTGCTTTCATTGCACGCACCTGTTGCGATAAGCGGGGATGCGCTCTGGGGACCTTCAAGACAATCTATCGTCCTCATTATCTTAGGTGCACTGATAATTGGTCGGGGCTTGAATGGCTTTCGACATCTTTCGCGAACAGAGATAACTTGGCGTAATACACTTCCATCGTATTTTGGACGTCAGAGGGGTGTGTAACACCATAGCAGTCTCGTGTTAGAGGCGAACGTCGGTCGGCGACGTCTCCCGCACTGAAGAAGCATTGTTCACCCTACTGTAGCAACCAGCTAAGGTAAGCCATGTAAGGGCCGTATAGCAATCGTTTGTGTACAGTTAAGAAAAAAAAAAGTAGAAGAAAAAAAAGCGTTTTGGGGGAGTTTTAAAACTGATTTTTATGACTACGTGTTCCTGGGTGATATTGGGGGAGCCTTGAAACTGATTTACATGACTACGTGTTCCTGACACACAATTTCTCAAACATGTTATTGTTATTTTCTCTTACTGCCTCTGAACAGAAAGTTTGTGTGTGTGGGGTGGACAAAAACAAAGTACACATGGGCGCGTGGCGAACTATGTCAATTACGCACGCAGACCGTCAGAAAGTGAATTAAATAGTTGCTATGTTGAGTAGAGCATGAAATACTACTTTGTTCTATTTAACACAAATCATCAATTAGCAAGGATGATGCTTATTTGTAAATTAAAGTGACCAGCATCTCTTCAAGAACAAATAACCAGGCTATGCAAGTTTATCCTGTACTATAAGCATAGGCGTGTACACGAGGGAGAGAGGGAGAGGAGGAAGGGAAGAGGGGGGGGGCAGCTGATAGGATATTCGTAAAATAAAGCATTTTTTTTTTTACCCGTGTTATTGCTACAAAATATCAGGATATTTAGTGGGCCGCTTTTTGGGTGAAACGCTGGTGAAGGCCGGGTTTCTGGGAATCGAGCGGCCCTGCGGCCGTATGGTCACTTCTACAAAACACTGAGGCTCTACCTTTTGACTGACAGTAACAAAACGAAAACAAGGAACTGCTAAGCACCAACAAGGTCGCATCTTTCAACTCACGGCATTTATTTTGGAGGCGTACGCTTACTAGCCCCTCAACGCAGCGTACCTCGCTGAATCTTTGTAGGTTGACCTACGTGTGCATGTGATGCGGTGTGGTATACTTCTCTTGACTTTATCATACGGTAACTGAGTCAAGGTGAAGGCGAGCGACTTCGCTTCAGCGAAATTAAACCTAATGTCGATCGGCGTACGCTGCTCTACGCACCGACACCTCGTGGGTGTTTGTCTTCGACTTCGACAAACTTCGAGGAGGGCCAGTACCAAAATTAGCATCGGGCCTTTACAATGTCTTTATGTCGTGTTTTATCCATCGTTCTTACGCCATCTTTCACTGTCTAGACTCACGTGGCCACTAGCCTGCCACCTCGTCTTCCTATTTCCCCGAACTTTGCGTGGCTTACCTTCTCCTTCAATCAGTCAAAGTCTGATGAAGTCACCCTCCCCCTCTCACCCCGCGTGTCGTCTGCTCCGCCGAGTGGGCAGTGCCTAACATCCAGCTGGCGTTCAGATTCGGTTTAAAATTGAGTCATTCTGGAAATTTCAAGCCCAGATGCGCGGATTTTAATATGTAAGTTATCTTGTAATGGTATGCTCGATAAAAAAAGACTAACCGGGTCCAATTCCGCTGTTACCTAAGCGAAAAGAAAAAAAAAAAGGAAAAATTGTGTCAGTGTGATTGGTCCTCCCGCGAAAAGTAAATCCGGTTGCTGTAGCTTTTTTACTATGCAAAGTTCGTAGCGCTGTAGGCCTTTAGCGACAATGGGTGGAGGTCTGGAATAATAAATAAAAACGGCACTCTTGACGCAATAGACGCAGTGGTTGAGGGTAGTACTGCCTGCTGACTTCGCTGCTATTGAAGTAACGGAGCAAAGATATGCTTGTTGATCCTGAAATAAAACAACAGAGCGCTGTAGGTTGATTTTGGAGTGGCTATAAATATTCTAAGAACGCGAACCGCTTCACAACGGCAGCCACGAGCGAGAGTTCGATGTTCGGTACGGCTCGCCGGTACAGCCCAGAGATGGAGAGCGGCAATCTCCTGGTTCGTTGTCTGCTAGCGGAATCGGCGCGTGCCCTCCCTCTCGTTTTACCCCGCTGAACCTGCTGAACTTCCCGGATGTGGGCAGAGGGCGCTGCGTTTGAACAAAATGGCGCCGCCCTCGCATGGACACGTAGGTCAATCCTACGCTGAGACTCTGCAAGGTACGCTGCGTTGAGGTGCGTGGTGCAGGTACGCTGTGTCCACTTCCGCGGTCCAGTGGAGGAAACTGAAGATACAATCTTTGTTGCCTAATGTTTCCCAGAATGCACCTGAGCCGCTAGAGGCGCCTCGGTTTTGCGCATTAAGATTTAGGCTTTTGAACGTGGGACATGTGCACACTTGATCGAATAGAATCTAAAAATTTTCACATGAATGGCTTATCAGGAGGTTTCTCGGGTCTGCTACGCTGTTACTACACAACAAGCAGGCTTTCTTGAGATTACAGGAAGAAATCCAGCGCCCTGGACACTGTTCGAACTAACGTTGGTTCGAACCACGACCGGGTTTATCGGTCGTGGTTCGAACCAGCACACAAAAGAGTTGCAAAGCCTGTAAAGCGCTAACTTCCGGGACAAGCCGATCATTTCCGGTGGCTTACCTGTTTGCTCAATGTGCCACCCAGCTATGGTGCCTGGAACGCGTCTTCGACTGGTGTGTTTAGAGCGTCCAAAAAATAGGTCCCTCGATTTCCGCCTGATGACGTCATAGAAGTGGGACGCCGCCAGGACGACGACGATGCATTTCAACTTTCCATTCCTTCTTCAAGTTGGTGTAGATCGTGACAAGTAATTTTGTAGCAATACATTGGCAATCACCTGAGTGGTTGCCAATGTATTGTGGTTGTGCCGTGCCCCAAAACCCTTTTAATGAGTATGCAAGAGTGCTGGTCCGTCTCACTTTTGCTTCTTGCTGGTGACAGTGAGGAAAATCCCGAGCCTGACCCTACGCTTGAAGAAGTCAAGTCGATACTACAAAATCAGAATGAAATTGCTGAGGATATAAAAAAGTACGAAAAGTAGTCCAGAGATGACGGAACGCACCCTTGATGGGGTAACAAAAAATTCCCAGATTTCGACTAAAAATTTAAGACTGCTGGAAAAAAGAAAAAAAAAAAAAAAAAAAAGGTCGCACATTTTGAAAATACCTTTGTCCTGCAGAACACCTACTTAACCAGCAAAAGAAGCTAGATGTCCTAGAAAACCCGCGAGAGACATATTAACTTAATTCTCTCTGGTTTTCCTGAGAATTCTAGAGAATCTTTTGAAAGTGCGGTTGTTGATTTGTTTAAAAATTGCCTTTTGGTAGAGGTGAGCTCGGTGCATCGAATTCACAGGCTCGGAGGAAAGATGAAGAATAAACCAGGCTTGTCAGCATGACCTTTTCATGCTGCAAAGAACGTCAGCAGCTACTTAAGAATTGTTCAAAGCTGAAAGGTTCGCGCACCTAGCTTTGTTTGGAGATTTGTGTTTGTCCTTTGTCCCTCTTGCTCCCCTTCTCCAGAGATTATTTTCGTCATTGTTAAAGTGGTTACTCAACCAACATGACCTTGTTAATGTGGTTACTCAACCACAGCAACAAGTTATGTACTTTACTCCGTTTCACCTTTAGTTGTACCGCAGGGAAAACTAGGAGCGCGAGCTCGTAGCGTTGGCAGCTGCCCTTGGTGCACGAGAGCTTGTGCCGCCGAGATGTGCCCTGGAGCAAGGAGCTCGCGCTTGTAGCCTTTCCTGCGGTACAACACAAGGTGAAACAGAGTATAGATGTAGCTTTTGTAAGCTATATGCCCTGTGAGGTTAGCACACATAAAGTTACATCAGACCATAATCTCGTATTGCTCGATTACAGTTATCTCAAGCTCCAGAAAAAGTTTCACAAACTAGTACGAGATTCTTTTCGAGCGGACGATGTTAGCATACTTCAAAGAAAGCTTCGATTCATTCAACAACAATTCTGGAAACACAGACTCTCTTTGGGCGATATTTAGGGACACTGTCCATTACTGTATTGAGCACTTCGTTCCTCAGAAGAAAGTATGTACTCATAGGCCGCATCCTTGGACAACGCGAAATGCAATTCATTTGAGGAGGCGTATTAAGACAACGCGCGACGGAAGACGTAAAACGTGAAGGGTCTAGAATTTTAACATCCTAAACTCCTCCCCCCCCCCCCCCCCCCCCAAAAAAAAAAAAAAAATTGGCGTTACATATTTTTCGCACAAGCCGTGGTTGATACAATTAAAATACAAAACATACTGGTAATTCCAAAAGAATGTCAGTTCTGAGTTTAATATTTATTTTCAGTCTGTCCTCACTAAGCACGCAAGCGTAGTATCAGCCTTTATATCTCTGCAGCTTGTAATTCTCCTTCTATTTCTGTTGAAGGTATCATAGCTATGCTGCTTAACCTTGATAACAACAAGGCGTCTGGCCCACATGATATTCCTACTGCGTTTACGAAGAGATATGCCGAATGGGTATCGATGTTTTTGCACATTATATTCAAGTCCTCTCTGCAGGAAAAGGGTGTTCCGAAAGATTGGCTTTGCGCGCGCGTTGTTCCGGAGCCTAAAGGGCGATTCACACACTTGCGTTGAGACCGACCGAGTGCGAGGGTTGCTATGGCGACAGCTGCGTCAGCTCCAACAAAACCAGTTTTTGCCCCGTTTTGTTGGAGCCGACTCACCGGTTGCCATAGCAACCCGTGAAAGGATCACCGTTGCAAGCCGTTGCAGTCGCACTCGGTCGAACTCACGCAAGTGTGTGAACCTACCTTAAAGGGGGGCGATAAGCTCCGTGTTTTAAATTACCGCCCCATTTCTTGAAAATGCAGATCTTCGAAACTTCTTGAACATATGGTGATCAACTACATCACAGATTTTTTCGAAAGCACTAACTTTCTATCGGTTCCCAACACGGTTTCTGGCGCAGTCGATCTAGCATCACCCAGCTTGTCTCCTGTGCACTACTTGGCAAGCGCTCGTAATGAAATGGGGCAAGTCAGTGCTGTGTTTATTGATTTTTCGAAGGCCTTCGATACCGTGCCTCATTCTGAATTGCTTTTTAAATTAAGAGCAGTGGGGATTTGTAATGATTTACTACTGTGGATAAGGTCTTACTTAATCAACAGAGTGCAAATATGTTGAAATTAAAAAAAACACGCACGCACGCACGCACGCACA